CAAGAAGTCCTTAAAAAGAAAGCCAGTAAGAAAAAAGTTTAAGGAATACTTTTTATTCTACTCAGGTTTTCTTTGCAACATCACATCACTCTTTTTAAAATGTACTTCCTTGCCACTCCACAGAATTTCCTGTTCAGAACAAAATTTAAAAGTAAATAGAAGGGGAAAGGGCAGGCTAATTTTTGGGGGGAGAGGAAGGGGATTTTATTTGGGTTTTTTTTTTAGGGTTTTGGGTTTTCTTTTTTTTGTTTGTTTGTTTTTTTAACAAGGAAGCATTGACACATTTTGTCAGAACCCTTTAACATTGCTTGGTTTTCTGATTTTTTCAGCTGATTTTCTTCTGAGGCAGGAATAACACCTATTTTCTGTAAAATCATACAGACTTGTTAGGAAATTTTCTTTCCCTTCTTGTAGTTAAAATGGTAACAACAGTTAAAAAGTTTTTTTTTTTAATTCTGTAACAGAATAACTAAATAATTTTCTTAGAGTACACTGTGGGCTATATGGAGTGCTGCTAGCGTGCCAACAAAGGTCTTTCTATTTTCTGTACTGTTAACAAAGTCTTATCTCTGGTCCTAATTTATGCAGCCACAAGAGTGTAGCGCAGTATTTTTTTTTCAGTCCCTTGTAAAATTAACTTAGGGCTTATAATTACTTGTCATGCTTTGTATCCCTGATAACACTATCCATCATCTTCAGTGAACCACGTAAACAACTTACATCTGTGAGCATTTAGCAATTACTCATCCAACCTTGGCAGTTATATGGGCCCAAGAGTTTTACCAAAGCTCACCATTATTAAAAATTATTAAAAATAAGTTTTTCAAATAAACATATCTATTACTAAGTAATCTGACTGATCATCAGAAGCTATTATCATGGGCTGGGTAGAAACAAAACTAAAAAAACTCACAAACATCAGGACTGGCAAGTATAACTATTTCCTTTTTATATTGCTAGACACCAAGAGTTTTAGTTTCTGTTATGAAACAGTGACTACCAAACAGGTATATAAGGAACTGCATTAAAATTATACTGATAATGGGTCTTAACTGTTATCTGAATAAATATATGGAGAGAAAAAGAACAATAGGAAACTTAAAATAAAACCATAAGAAAACTCAAGGGTAGCCTTGAAAAAAAAACCAAACAAAACTAAAACCAAACCCCATGAATTTCTGAGTAAGCATGGGTTGAAGGAGGTTGGATTTGTGCAGTGGGCCACATCCAACCCACCTGTCTTAGAGTGTGAAGGAGGTTGGATTTGTGCAGTGGGCCACATCCAACCCACCTATCTTAGAGTGTGCAATGCCCCCAACATAGGACATGCATCTCCTATATAATCCACAGGGAGATGGAAGTGCTTTCACAGGACCTGTCTCCTCATTCACCACACTTGAGCACTTCAGTAAGGTGTTCGTTTCCTTTAGAGAAAGCATACTGGGGCATGTATGGACAGCTAGGGATGTAGCAGTTCAAAATGAAGCTACTGATTGAGTGTAAATACTTTCAAGAGTTAACCTGTTTTGGGTAACAAGCACAATGAGTTACTCTCCTGGTTTTAGGCACCAATGCTGCTTTTCAGTTGGTTTTCAGGTAGTCTCTGAGATACATTTGTTCAATTATTTTTCCCCGTGTTGAGAACACAGGTCACATCTTCCTAACAAAAGCAACAAGAAGATATAAAAAGGATTTGTTTCCATTATCATATCCTGCTTCTAGAGGAAACCAAGCCACAAGAACCTGAAAACTACTCTACCAATTGACTCAAAACAGCAATACAATTTTAGTATAAATTACAAATACAGCTGGCTGGGAAGACAGAAAAACATTCAAAAAAAACAACATCCAAACCAAGACCTTCTTCCATTAAATTTTTCAGTTACACATTTTAAGTAGTATGAATTCAGAATTAACAATGAAAAACTGACATTAAAACACGACTTAAGAGTACAACATGGAAACGATTTCTGAAACCGAATGTTACATTTAAAAGTAGTAACAAGGCAAAACCAAATATTGTGGTCAGTTAACAGTTTAGTATTTCAACAAAAGAAAATCTATCTCCTTCCCTCACATTGTAGACACCATTTTTTCTCCTCCCTCCCATTTGTAAGCCATGTTTTTATGTCTGATACTGTTATACTTTATATTGTATATATTTTACATATTATAGAGATAATATTATTTAACATTATAGATATTATTAAATATTTTAAAGTAAGTTTTCTTGGAAGTTACCTATGGATGCAAAGAAAATGATGGCAAGAAAGTCACGTATTGGTTCAATACAGCACATAATCTCCTCAGTAACCATGTGACCCTGAGAAGAGATCAGAGCTCCAGCTAAGAAGCATCCCAGTTCCATTGAAACATCCAACAGCTCTGTGATCTGTCAAGGAATAACAGAGAATCTTTTGCTGAGTGGCTGAGTAACTTTATATACCATTTCACAGTGAAATTATAAAACTGGACATTATACTGAATGTAGGAAATTACTATCTCTTTGTGCAAGTTCAACAAGAAGTAGAATTCAGTGTATTTATTTCAATGTTCTCTATTAGTGTATTTATACAGAAGACTCACAAAATCTGTTTCCCCCTCCATGTTACCTCCTTCCCCACAAAAATAAAAAGAAATTTCTTAATCTACACAGTAGTACTTTGTGTCACTCTTAAGGACACCATCTGATTTCACAACTGCAGGAGAGACTATAACAGCTTTGGAGTTGGGATTACATAATACATTGCGACTGGGAACTAAAGCCGTCAGAATAGGGTATTTTCCAGCTGTCAAACAAGAGAGAAAAATGAAAATCAAAGCTTATATCTGGGAGAATAGTCTCAATTTAGAAGACGTCTCAGGCATAAATTACATTTTATTATCGTAAATGGTTTAAATGTGTCTGTGTGCTTTACTGAATAGGGGTTCCTTTAAGTGTGTGAAGTAAACTGCTGAAATGAAGCACAATATCAGCTTGAAAGAATTCAGACTGTTTCATTCTTTTTTAATGCAGTACTAGAAGGAAGAGATGAAACACATGTAAAGAAGCTAAACTAAAAACAAAGCAATTGCTTAAGGCAGTGCTTGGAATGCTAAAAGGAAAAAAAGCGAACAGCACTTCTAGTGGGTATAAAGTATGTTTTAAAATAAATACTTTAAAACCATGCTGCTGTAGGTGGTCATCTTGCTGAGAAAGTACAATGCTATTAATACTAATAGAACATTTAAAACAGAAGACTTATTTTCATAGTAATTTAGATTAAGCAACAATACACTATAGTACATTTATGGACACCATTCATAGGATTTTGAATGGTGTTATATTGTAAGTTATGAAACTAAAACTCAAGTGGCTTGAAATTAATGGAGGAGAGAAAAAGACACAATAAACAAGTCTCCAAGCTGTGCATAAAATGACACCCAATAATAATCCCCATACTTCTATGTTTTGAAATGTTAATGTCCGAGGGATCATAATGTAACTGCATTTTTTATAACAGTCTGTAATTTACTGCAAGACATTTAAGGAAAAAAATTGTTCTGTCAACTAATATCAGTAGTTGCTGATCAGGCAGAACGAACAAAACATTATGATGTTATTCTCATTTTAAAACAAAAGGAATTTCAGTGCTCGTCACAACAATTTGAAATTGTAGGAGAGAAGAAGGCAATATATACATGAAAGGCTTTAAAATTACCAAGAGATGAGTAAAATAAAGGAAACAGTTATGAATAGGGAACACTTAAGTTGTTCTCAGTCACACATTAGTTGTTTTCAAAGTCACATAGCTAATATTTCAAGTATTCCCATATACGTGATTATGTTACCATAAAAGAAGAGATCTAGCATCTCTTGTACCAGAATTGCATGACAGTGTACTGTTATGAGAATCACTCTTCAAGCAAGGAACAATTTGAGAGTTGCACTTGATGATCTCAGAGGTCTTTTGCAGCCCAGTTGATTCTATGATTCTATGAAAGAAACATGTTTCTTCAGAAAGCATGAGACATAACTGGAGCAAACCGTATGTCTATCTGGGAGTTTGCTCCCACAGCATAAAATCTGAATTACATTCCTTCACTCTGTGGCAAATCAAGTACATGCTCGAAGGCCTGGTAGAATAATAGGCAAATTTTACTATTTCTTGTTTAGTCTCTGGGTACTACACAGCTTCAGGTCTACAAAATCTACATGTCACTCTACACACTGAAAGTGTGCAGTGGATGAGAGCACAAGAAAAGAACCAACAATTACATAATTTTCTTAACCCTATCTCCCCTCCCCCAGTCTGTTCCTCAGATTTATATGTAGATTTATACAGAGACTCCTTTTACAATTCCCATCTTGTTCTCTAGTTGACCAGTAATTTATTATCAGTAAGTAGGCACACTTCCTCAGCTAAAACTGTAGCATCAGGGTTTATCACGTATAATGTATGGGCGCACATGCACAGACATACTAGAGAGGGTTTGTTTTACTGGCAGAAAGGCATTCTCAGCAGAATTTCTTACATAAGAAAAATTTGGAAAGTATTTCACTTTTAGAATTCCCTCTGTGCTTGCATCACTTTTAATGTTTCCCTTTTACCAAACAGGGCTCTGATGATTGCTAATCTCTGTGCTTTGCACTGTCCTTTTCTCAACACTTACATTACAGAAAGCTTTTTCAGTCAAAATTACATGAAAAGTTTTGTGAATTTCCATGTTTTCTCCCCAGTAAAACTTAGTTTTCAGTTGTTTTCCAAGGTCCCCTTTTACTCTAATTCAGAAAGGATTGCTTTGCTTTCACTAGAATATTAGATTTTTATGTTCAAATGTTCTATCACAGCAATAAATAAAGAAATAAACATTACTGCTGTAACATGTTCCAGTTGAATCTCGACCATCTGTTCAGCAGTTGTTTTGCTCATATGCTCTAAGAGTGTCTATCTTGTTGCTACTCTTTAATCATCATAGAACCTTAATGAATATGGTAAGCCAGTAAAATTTAAGAAAATCTTGATAGAAATAAAGGTATTAGAATTTCAGGTTTTAGTAACTTAAACCCGTTTAAGAGTAAAGAGGTGAATTCTAAGCTTGCATTTTAAGAAAGTAAAGCTGTAATGGAAATGGAAACAATTTTTAGTGAACCCTGAAAAAACTCCATCTCAATTACATTTTATGAAATAATTAACTAGAATATTTGAGATTAAAGTTCTTCCTTAATCTTCTCCTTCTAATTGACAGAAAAGAGTTCATAAGCAGGTTATGAGCCATTGAGAAGTACTCCAAGCAAGCAAGGAATGATATTCCCAATATTAATAATGATATTCCTAAGACACTGCAGGAAAAAAATATGCACATTTTCATACGTAAAGTACTGTAATAACACAGCTATATTTTTTTTTGTCTTTTTGGTACATAAAGCAATTTCCCTCCATTTGCACAATTTTCGTTGTAATGTTTCTGTGCATAGAGAACATGAGAAAGGAACATTACTCCAGTGACTGCTCTGGCTGACATACTCTTCAGCTCATTGGGGTAAATACCTCAACCTAAAAGTACAAGTCGAGCCATGGGTTCTGAATGGTCGCATTTAAAACCATAAGCAAGATTTGCTCTTTATGTTGCGATTCAGAACAGTTTCCCAGTTAAAACAAACCACCAACCACTATCTGCACAACTCAAAAACTTCAAAAGGAGATGCTGAAAGTGTAATAATGATCTACTAAACCTTTGAATCATGTACCTTGCCATCAGTAACAAAGATGGGCAACTGTCTCTCTCAGCTATACTTTTATAGGACTGGCACTTGACACAAACTCCCCCCACACCTGATCTGCCTAACTAGTTGAGAGACAAAAGGGAAGGGAATTCCAATTATTTCTGAGAACACTGGGAATATAAAGAGGTATCTTAAGCTCCAAGTCTTAGTAAAATATCTCATATTTGAGATGCACTGCTTTAACTTAGTTTGCCAAGAGATGTATTTAAGACCCTGTTTCAGATGTAATGAGTTGCAATGTTATCCAAGTCAGCCAAGCAGTTCAGAAATGCTCAAAAGCCACCACCACACAGGAAGCTCCTCAACTGACAGGATAATCCTTACATCAAAATTGCTTACTCACACTGTAGTATAGGAACCTCTTCTGTCCTATATTCCCTCTTGTTTTCCCTTACAGAATTTGCCCTTATTGGTAGGGAAATGACAATTCCTGCTAAATTAGTCATGGGAGATTTTTCAAACATAGGAAACAAGTAAAATAAAATAAGTTTATATATAATGTGCATTACATGTGCTAGTGTTACAGATTAATCCAAATACAGAATAAAATTAGATGGCTCCAAAATTCCAGTCATCACTGAGGCACATAATAAGTAACTATATGCATGAAGCAGGAATAATGTATCATTCCTACCCTCTTTGTCATGTATTGTAAAGAATCTGGCCTGCAGAGTAACCTGCATGTTAGACAGTCAGTTAAAATATGTTATTTACAGTCATCTCTCAGATTTTCTAAATGAAGCTGTCTTTGGTCAAGGCCACAAAAAAAAAGGCACTCTCTTATTTCTCTTCTACAAATTCAAAAGCTTTTTTACAATTACACCAGCATAGAAAATTCTGTGTTTGCAGACTAATTATATCAACTCCTTTAATATTTAGGCTTAGTTTTCCCAGGAAAAAGATATTTGCAGGAACCACTAGAGTTTAATTTGTTTCTTCCTAGCACCAAAAACTTTAATTTATCCTTTCCAGAGACATGCAACAAATTAGATTGCCATCCCCCATCCTATGTTTTTATTCCTGACATAGTAGGGGCACCTATACAAATAAAAAGATTTGTTTTCCAGAAGATTTGTTTGTTGATCTGTTCAACTAGACAACCAAATATTTTTTTTTCGGTGTGTTTAAACCACAAGTTGTAGCATTACTATAATGAATGTAACTGTGTCAGTGAATATCAAGCATCTCAACTGGTTTACTGAGGTTACCTGCAGTATCCTTTGTACTGTTCCCTTTGATACATTATTTATCAACTCTAACAGGAAAATTTTTGACAATGCTGAAGAAGCATTTCGGTTTTGCAGTATAAATCCAACACACTCAAACATATTCTCCCCCCATGTTTGTGTACCCACCTGTGTTATGTAAAGTCATATAGACAAGCTCCTTGTTCATTTGACAGGCAATTTTGGTACAATACACCCAATTCAATCACCAGACTATGTAGGTCATATTCTTAATGAAAGTAAAACTGCTTCTAGATATCATCATACTTTATGCAACTTTTGTGGTTTGGTTGCTGTTTTTTATTGAAGTTGTTCTATGAATGTAATGTCTGCTTGTTAGAAAGTAAAAAGTAAAAACTAGTTTTGTACCTTCTCTTATTAGATGACACACTTGGAATATGAATAGCTGTTTGGAGCAATGGCATTTTTAACCTGTACAACAGAAGTCAAAAACTGTAAAGCTATGCTCTCACTACCTTCTTTTTGACCTTTCTGAAGGAGGTCAGCTTTCCCTGTTGAACTGCAGTAACTAAGCTAACACCCCTAGAAAAAAGGTACAGGCAGAGGAATTTTTTGGCTTAATTATTCTCAGAGGACATAATCTGCACATTCAGGATAATGGAGTTTCAAACCCACAACATTATCAGCAACTGTCACATTCTGTTCTCCAGCAGTATAGTTTTTCAGAGGGCTGAAACATGAGAGAGAAACAGACGGAAAATTCAGGGGCAAATGAACCAAACCCAAGAGGGTTATTAAAATCTATAATCCTTAAGGCATTTCTCTGCTTTCTTAACTTCATCCCAAACTGTGTATCCCACACAAAAAGAAAATTATTTTATAATAAAAACATGTTGGAATTTGTTATTAAGAAATTTGTGAGCAAAGGTCACAATCAGGCATTATCAGTATCTCAAAACTCATCCTAACTTATTTTCAAATGCATGAAGTAGCCCAAAATTAAAACTTGGATCATTATTCCTGAACTGGCTGTATTAAAAGCTAACAGCAGAAATTCAGCAGATTGACATTCAAATTTTATCTCTTCTTAGTCATCTGTGCTGGAATGCATGAATCATTTGTGCATTTGAGGGTTGTTTTAAAACATTTTAAACCCAAATAATTAATTACAGAGGTACATGTATATGCAGTAAGAGGAATGGCTTTTGTGATAGTGATGCAGTAAGCTACCAAATGTATAAAAATGTTTTATTAATTGAAAAGATTAATTTAAAAGATTACCGTTAACATAAGGAAGGTGAATGCAGTTATTCCTAGAATGAGGATTTCTTTATTCCCTTTGCTTTCTGCATGCAACTTGCGATAATACGGTCCTATGAGATAAGTCTTTATAACAAGACATAGAAGAAAAACAGCAGCCAAAGAAAAGAGAATTTGGCCAATCAGTATCAGTATTCTCAGTATTTCCTTGAAAATGCTGGAAGAGAAGAACAAACAAAAAGTTTCTTTCAAGTGCTCTCATACTTCCCAACCAGTTCCCCTTAAGTGAAAATATCTAATTTTGTAAATGTTCAAAACTGAGTAGCTACAGGAAGATATTTAAATACATTTGCAAACAAGATTAAGACTAAATCTGCTGAATGCCCAGTAACATCTTTTACAGCCTAGAATTTACTTCCATGTTGACTCAAAAAGATTTTTGTTGACTGATCTCCAGGTAAGCCATCAGACTCAATAATGCTATCACACAGGACAAAAACATGCCCCGAGGGAATAAAGTAACTTTTTTTTTTTTTACAATAACAAACTTTTCACTACAAATTATGATTACCACACAGGACTACGGCTGCTAGAGGAAAAAGAATATTTTCATACAACATGACAAGTAGAAACAGTAAAGGAAACTCACAAGAACGGAGTGTCTGTTTTTCACAGAACTGACATTAACCTTAGTGCTCTCAATATTCGTATCGGCAATCTACATCCTGATTGCAAGGGGTGGGGAGGGGAAGATCCATACAATAATTAATTTTTTTTTTACCTGGAATGTGTGCTCACTCCTGCTTGAATAAGTGTAGGCATGACAGCTATAAATAAACCAAGCTGCACATCCTGCATCACCAACATGCCAAGCAGTACGCTGCTGTAGTCAATATCCCCTGTACACCAGCAAAGCAGTCAGAGAAACAGTCATTAGAAGCTATGAATGCTTACAATGCTCAGAAATCTAGAAAAGGCTTAATCAAATGGAAGCCAAGTATAGCTCTTAATGGGGTGAAGGCCATTCAAAGCAGTCTGGGTTTTTTCCCCCACTAGTAGGTAAATTAAAATATATATAAGACATTAAAAAACAAATAAAATATTCATGAGACTTCTGTTACACAATAAAAACATAGACTTTGCTTAGCAGTTAAGTACTAGTTATGCATTTAGTGAAACTCCTTTACTGAGAGCATACAGTTTTTAGAATAACAGACATGTAAGAGTCAGCATGTGTAAAATATACACACTTTGAATTCTGGCATTAGAGTGAGTCTTCTATAGGGTGGAGAATAATGCAGTTTGTATGAGGGAGGTTTAAATGGAAGAAAGCAGGATGTCAAAACTTTTGAAAGGAAACATGTAGAAGTACTTGAGAAGATAGCAATGTGACCCTTGAAGGTAGTTATTTGAAGAGCTGTTAGCTATGAAAGACCACCTGAACTGGTCTCTGTTGAAGAAGGATGTGAATTACTTAAATTAGCCTTTCTGCCCTGATGACAAACTGGTAGCAATGGTCTAATCTGGTAACCTCTTAAAAAGTTCAAGGAATAAAGACCCTCAGTAAAGTCAGTTCTTAACATGGAGAGCACTGGTTGAGCTACACTGTCTTTCTCCAAAGATGACTGGCTATGTAAAAAGCAAGAACACTTCCTAATGAGAATATACGCGACATTGGCCAGTGTTAAACAAGGATGATCCTTTGTAAACCACACTTAAGAGTGGTTTTTGGTTTGTTTTTTTAATTAGTCTCTCTCATAATATTACAAAGTGAACTTCTTTCAAATTTTATTGTAGATACTACAGTAGCCCATATTTAAAGTAACACATACCTTCTTTATCTCCTCGAACACTACCTGCAAGGAACCTCGACACCAGTGGTGTGCTTGATAAAGATAAACAAGTGGAAATGAAGACGCTCTGTGTTGGTCTAATTTGGAGCAAGTGCCCCCATAGTAAACCAAAGGCAATCATCAGAACTGTCATGTAGCAAGGTCCTTGCAAAGATATTTTCCATACCTGGGGACAAAACATGTTTTTATGATAATGGCTGATGACACTTTTTCTTCTCACCGCTAAGTTACAATGATTTGCATCACAAATAAGCAGTTAAAAATGTGTGGTTTGAGGCTGTAATGCTCAACCACAGAACTAATGGGCTATCACCCTATACAACCCAAAACCCTGAAGTTACTTATGTCTAGTAGATATTCTATGCCAGAAGGCTCATTACCAGAAATTAGGTAAATTTTCCAGAGCTAATGGACAAATTAGGGCCCAAAACTCCAGTATGGGTTGAAATATATTAAAAATTATCAAGTGGAAGACCAGTTATTTGATGTGATTCTAGGATGGGGAAAAAATGGGAGTGGCAAAGGCAGTTACCAATACCAGCGACCTGTTCCAAACTTGTGCACACATAATTCTGGAGCAGCAATTTACCTGCTACACTTTAGGAACTCTTGAATTACTAGTTTTTATCTTTGACTTTAGATGGACTAGAAATAGCAGATTAAGCTGAATGGTCATAAATTTCAACACATTTCAATTAAAGCTTTTATGGTATCATGAACTCACAACCATCAGTTTAGAAACAAATCACACCATGCAGTCCTTTACATAAAATCTGCACATATTTTGCAGCAGGATTTTCCAGTATTAAAATTCTAGCTGGTTTATAACTTTTTTTAAAAATTAAGACCAAAAAAACCTTGTAGCTTTTTGCTGAATCCTGATGGCCACATCATGTAATATTCCAGATTGTGCTAACATACTTGCTGAATCATTTAATTAGCCAGTAGAGCATGTATCGTCAATTTAGTATGCAGTACTCAAATGGTTTGATTTTTTATAACAGGACTGGCAAACATCACTGGACACTCTGTAATAACAACTGCATGTTACAATTAAGCAGAGATGGATCGTCACAAATGGTGAGAGATTAGTAATTAAACTGTTTTACTAAAACCAAGAGGAATAGCAAATGTAAGCTTTTTGAGACACTGAATAAATAATGCATTCTGTTCTTTCCAATGAGGTACAGTGCAGAAGCAAATGTCATATTTGTCTTTTTCAAAAATGTACAAAGTTACACCAATATATTATAGGGAGAGTATAAAAATATGAAATATAACTGGTAACTGGAACATTAGCAATTAAATACTTTAATGTAGAGGTATCATGCAAAAATACCTTTCTTAATCTTTCAGGAGAAAATTCCAGACCAACTAGAAAGAGGGTGAAGAACACACCAAACTCTCCTAACGTCTCCACCTGTACAATAGACTTTAAAAAAATTAAAATAAATAAATCAGTGCACAGCAGTCTACTTATAATACCAATTATAATTCCACTACAAAACAAATTGTTTCTCATTATGTTTCCATAGGTAGTTCACTTGCTGTCATATGACATCTGAAGTTCCTACAGCAATCTTAGGGTTTAAACATTTTTTCCATCACCTGGCTGATACTAGATGATAATTTGGTTGGATAGTGCTGGTCACATTAAATGCACATGTGCACTCATCTAGGTAAGCCTGCTGGCTGGATGAAAATGAACGGGTTATGCTTTATGCATGTACTATTAAATTCCCAAGGCTTGCACTCTAGAAGTTACTTCTTGCTAGTTATTTTATTGGTCTATTGGTATAATCTTTCTGCTAGACTGTAGTTGCTGTTCTGCTCACCACCCAATAGACTGCACACATCCATCTCTCAGTCCAGCAGAACTACCAGCCCTTTCTTCTACAGAGAGAAGGGAAAAAACAGCAGGAAAAGTGGTTGTCTTGCTCACCACAGCAGAAAAATGGGGATACATCTGGCTGGCAACTGATGATACCAGGCTGGGAGGTGCTGTTGACTCTCTTGAGGGACAAGACACCTTGCAGAAAGATCTAGATACACTGGAGTATTGGGTAATGATTATTGGCATATTTAACAATGCTGGATTCTGCATCTAGGATGAAGTAAGGCCAGGTGCAAGAATAAATCAGGAGTGGAATGGCTGGAGAGCAACCCTGCAGAAAGGTGTCTGGGGGTGCTGATGGACAGCAAGCTCCATGTGAGTCAGCCCCTGGCAACCCAGAGGGCAAATCCTATCCTGGGGTCCATCAAACAGCATCACCAGTCACTCAGGACAGGTGATTATTCCACTGTATTCAGTGGTGGTGAAGCCTCACCCAGAGCTCTGTGTGCAGTTCTGGGCCCTACAATTAAGGAAGGATGTGAAAATACTTGAATGCATCCAGAGGAGGGCTACAAAGCTGGTGGAATAACTGGAAGGAATGCCCTATGAGGAGCAGCTGAGGACAGTTTGTCTAGCTTGGAGAAAAGCAGGCTGCGGGGCAACCTCATTGCTGTCTACAGCTTCCTGAGGAGGGGAAGCGGAGAGGGAGGTGCTGAGATCATCTCCTTGGGATTCAGTGACAGGATGCGTGGGAATGGTTCAAATGCTGGATCAGGGAAGCCTAGGAACCACTTCTTTACTGAGAGGATGGTCAAACCCTGGAATAGGCTTCCAAAAGAGCTGATTAATTAAGAGCTGATTAAAGAGCCCCCAGACAGACAGTGTTCAAGAGGCATTTGGACAATGCCCTTAACAATATGCTTTAACTTTTGGTCAGCCCTGAAGTGGTCAGGCAGTTCACTGAAACAGTCTATTCTAAAAACCTAACATTTCTTTCCTATGCATTTACAGGCCAGAGCAGAAGAGAACAGGGTCTATCATCAGTCACAGAGAAGTGCAGATGGAAACTATCTTTCCTGCCAGATTAGAATCTGTCTGCTTCCTCAGTTCCTCCAATATTCAACTTTTTTAGGAAATACAGAAAAAAGCATACAAAAGAGACCCAGTCAACATGAACATTATCCAGATGAGTAACATTTAATCACAGCTGCACAAGAAACTGGCAGGTCACTTAAACTGTCTTGAAGAAACATCTCTCATATGTTCTGACCACATAATCTTCTTCAACTTAAATGCCTGAAAATTCATTTTTGGATCTATTCCAAATGTCAAGCTTACAAACTTGTTTCTCAGACTAAGTGGCCAAACTTTCCAGACCTTCTCAACCCAGAAATTATGTACAACACAAAGGTTATTATTTAATCTCAATTTTAGAATATAAAATTTTGGAAGTGTAGTACTTGGACCTTCTCTTCCAATACAAGATTGCAGGATTGTCAATTTCTAACCATCTCTACTTACTTTTGAGCCCAGCAGTCATTTTCAACAAAAGCCCAGGTAAGAGCAGATGTTGCAAAGACAGTTCCAAGTGGTTACGTGGATATCATTCCAACAAGCTCATGTAACTTAAGTGGACATTATGGTGCAGCCTTAATGTGTGATCTGTTTTGCCTGTTGGCTAAACAATCTGTTAATGCACACCAGACCACTAATCAAAACATGTCCAGCCAACCACAGCCCATGGTTTCGCATGAGCTAGTAATCAGGGTACACGTGATGGAGCTAAAAAGGTTCAAGAGACTTCAGGAATGTGGGCCGGGTACTGGGAAAGAAACAGGGTGACTAGGATGGATGAATGAGTTACAGAGAAGCAAAATAACTCTCTAAAAGGCCAAGCTATGCTAGTCAGGGAACTACTTGTTTTAAACACTTCCTCCACTCTGGATTCTTTTTTTGTTTGTTTCTTAATGCATTTGAAGTTGGCAACACCATATTATTTTAAAACTACTTTTAAAGACTTTGACGAATTAAATCAGTCAAGAAGTAACTTGCACACTTACCTTGATACTGTTTAATCCTGAGGGTCCTAAGAGTACTCCGCAGATGATATATCCAAACATGGTTGGCAATCCTATTGTTGTGCACAGCCAGCCACATGGCAAAGACAACATTCCTATTGTCACAATATCCTAAATATGTAAGATTTACAAATGCATTAATATTAAGGACACACAATTTGGGACGAAATTAAAGACTATTATCTTTCAAAAGATAAACAGGTGTAAGCACGGCAGTTTTGTAGATGAAGAAGTAGTACTGACCTTAAGTAACTGGGGGACTTTTGATCAATTTTTAAATATTTTAAATGCATTATAGAAAGTAGGCAATTTCCTGGATGGAATGACACTTTGCAGTAAAACAAGATGGTGAAACAGATCTGTTTTGAGTTTATATAATTAAAAAAGGATCCCTATCCAGTTATTCTATTGGAAACATAAATACAATAAAAACCCTGCCATGTCTGTGTATTTTCCAGCACTCCTTCTTTCATCCCAAGGCACAAACAAATAAGTTCTCTCTACTGACAACATGCAAGTGGCTCATCAGGCACAGCAGTAGTTTGCTTTAAGACTGTGCAAGAGAAGGGATGGTGCCCCAAAGGTGCAACAAGATAAATAAGAACGAGAGGATTCACATGGCATCATGATTAGCCTTTTGAAGACTATCCTAAGAGTAGGGAACATATGGCCAAATCACCATAGATAGGGGACTCATGAATGCTGGGATAATTTTAGAGGAGCATATGCTGAATGTACATTCAATTCAACCAAGTAGTACTGACATGCAAACTAGTGGGACTAAATCTGACCAAAAGCAATGACAAGAATGTCTCTAAAATTATTACCTTTATGAAATGATGATCAGCACGAGGAATGGTTGAGTCTCTGGGTTTGGTAAGGATATACTGATTGTTCTGGGAATCAATAAGCATACTAAGACCTAAGTCATCCTCTACTTCTCTTTTTGAAGCATTTCTTTTGGAGTTGGCTTCATCTTCTTCCACCCTTAAAACTGCTTCAAAGTTTACACCTCTTACCTGTGAGAAAAAGAAAACAAATAATCAAACAAACAAAAAAGTGGGAGCCAACTAAGCTTATCATAAAAAGGGAAAGCCTATTAGCTGTGCTTGAAGTTTATACAGAACTTGTCAACATCAGCTAAAAATATCAGGTTTTTTCTCTAAGAAGGCCTTCATTTTCTTTATTAAAACTTGGGTGTCTTGAAATGTAACACGTTATTACCCTGAACAAAACAATTGGAGATTACAAAGTGATATTGAGTTCTCAAAAATCTGAATTAAAGACTGCATTACAAATCAAGAAAAGGCAACTGTTCTGTAAATTTGAAGGAGAAGTTGTAAAAAAAACACCTGTTTCTACCTAGTTATTTTCAGGATTTTATTTCCCAGAACAGCAATTCTTGAAAGCAGGTTGTAGTTCAGATTTTTTTTTTTTTTCATTTTTACCAGCTACACTTCTCTATTTGATTATATTTTAATAGAAGCCTGTATATCTCTATCAGAATACTGATGACTGTATTAGAGCTTCTCTGTTCTAAAATTCCAGTGTTTTCGCTTAAATGTTCCTAGCAAAGACAGAGATGCAAACAGCCCTCCGGGTTGCATTCCACGATTCCTTTTCTTTCACGGATGGAGATACAAGCAGAGAAAGAAAGAGATGCCCTGGAGGAGCAGGAGGCCTTGGCGTTTTTCCAGCTCTCAGGTGCCGCAGGACGAACCTCGCTGTTCCAGGGCGGAACAGGAGAGGGCGCTCCCGCGGCCCGGCCCGGCCCCGCCGCAGGCGCTCCGGGCGGGATCCCCGCGGGGCACAGCCGCTCCTGTCAGGTGTGATCGCATAAAAGCGCTGCTTTCACTTTCGCTCCATGCAAGTACAGCTACAAAAAAAATCCCACGGCTTGGCTCGCTACTACAGAGCAACTGTTTTTTAACTCCTCAGCACAATTCAAGAGCTGTGCTCACCTCGGAAGTCAACCTGCAAGTCAACCAAAACCTCTGAAGAGCAAAGGCCAAGTGAAGCTGCAACCCATGGCTACGCAAACAGGGCCAGTTTAGAGGATCTGTCTCTGAGGATGGCAAAATGGGACACTACAATAAGCTGACACATTCCCAGCTCCAGAAACACACAGCCTTAACCTGAGGAATACTGTCTACCATGCAACATAAAACCAAAGAACAATGCAGGTAGGCCAAGATGCAAAAGGCAAAGGAAGTCAGCAGTGGAAGAAAGCAACACCACAAATTTCAAGTCCTTCCCTTAAACAATGTATCTTTTCCCAGACTGTGAAAACTAACTGCAAGGATTCTTGTTCTCCCATAACTTTCTCAACAAAATGAAGATGTGGTGACTGCTTAACACAGTAACTTCATATCCTGAGAAGTTCATCACAGTTCCCCCCACCACAGTAACTTCATATCCTGAGAAGTTCATCACAGTTCCCCCCACCACTGAGATGCCATATCTCTGCCCCCCCGCACTGAGACGTCATATCTGTCATGGGCTCTATCAGTGAGGTGGACTACATTTGTCAAAGTGGCAGCTGCAGGGAGGACTTTCAAATCAAAACCACAGAAATCAGTAGCAAAAAGGAGCAATTATTCCTGATGCTCACTCTCCTTTAATCCTATAACCTTAACAACTATATAACGCACAAGAAACATGCTTACAGTGCAAATACTAATTATAAATAAATGCATACCAATGAAAAGACTGAGTCTAAAACATTACGTACAGATTTGTTGTCATCAAAGGCATGTTCTTCTATTTCCTCTTCCAATCTATCCGCTGCCTTCCTGACATCTTCCAGAATTTCATCAAGCATTGACAGGCTTTTGTTTTGATGCTGCATGTTCTTAAGGGCTTCAACCTGGTGTTTTTCAGCTGCTAAGAGTTCGACGTATTCCATTTCTTCCTGTTGAATTTTAGAACACACAGATAAAGTGCTGGCCATGCCTTTGAGCAGAAAAACATCTGACATAAATTTATGCTTCTTTTGACACAAATTCAGTGGACTTGCAAGAGCAACACAGACTTCATGATGGTATCTGAAGATTGCTTTCTCTTGTGCCAATTTTCATTGGGGTAACCGGACAAGAAAAACAACCACCAAAAAAAATATCCACCAATTACCTTTTCTAATCTTTTAAACAGTAGAGCTGACCTAAGGGTATGATCCAGAAAATACACAAAATTACTTACTTTGAGAAACTCTAGAAAACATTTCAGAGCCAAGTAGAGTTTAGCACTCAGTGCTTTAGGGGGGAAGTGTAATACCTTGAAAGCATAGCTATACTACCTACAACAAACAAATTGGATGGAAAACACAATGAATCTTAACTTTATAAAACCTTTTATAAACATAGGAAGAAGTCTGTTAATGGTTTTCAAAAATTACAGTAACTGTGGAAACTGCCACAAAAAAAGAAAAAAAAAAGAGTTGGGAGAGAGTCGAGATGAGCACCAATCACTCTATCCAAGTTTCCTGTTTATGTTTCCCAAGAAGCACTTTCCTATCAGCCTAAAATACTTGACTTTTTCCCCCATTTCAGTTTGGGCGTCTTATAAACTTACACTGATAACTTCTAAAATTCATTTCTAGGCTTCAGAAGTAAGAAAAGGAAAAAAGCTAATATGGTTTGATATAGTGTGAAAATACTTCAGAAGGTTCCCTAATAAAGTTATAATGTTTCATTTGTCTTTGAATGTTTCAGGTTAAAAAAGACAACCAGAGAGCTTAATTTACTAATCAAGACCAGACTTAACACTGTACCTTCTACATAGTTACCATGACAGTAACCAAACAGAATATTTTGTGTGTTGACAGAGAACAATCTGAGGTTTTTGAAAAAAAAAGATTATTTTCTTTACTTGCCTACATTCTTTTAAAGATGTTCTGCTTGAGAGAACAGTTATGAGTAAGGAAACATATGCAATTGCAGCACTTCTTCCTTCCAGTTAGGTTCAGGATGCTCACAACACTTAGATGAGAGAGACCCTACTTCTGCTCTTTAAGAAAGACAATGTTATTACGAAGGGCAAAATAGGCAAAAACTGCAAGCAATCTGTAGCTCTGAGTCAATTCCCAGAAAACACAAGTTCCTGTCTCCAGATGCCCTGCCATAGCCAGTTGTAAATCAAAGAATGTAGGTCTCCCTTAGGAGGCGTGTTTTACCTGCCTACCCTCCATAGACATCTTCAATAACCCAGATATATAATATGGTCCTAAACACCTATGCTTAAATAAGTGGAGTGTCCCCTCCTTCACACATTTGCAGATGGACATTTTTCCCCTTAAAACCTGCAGGAACATGCATGTAATTTAATCCATTCCTTGATGCCAAGACGAGAGTACGTTCAGTACAACCAGTAACTGTAGCTTAATTCTTTTAAAATCCCAACAGTCATATGAATGCCTCTGATTGTGATGAAACCACAGAATTGCTGTCTGTTGGTGTTTAGAATTACCATACTTACACCAGCATGACAAAAGATACCCAGATCCCAAAATAACTGGAGTTGGGATAAACGTAATTATTCACGTGTTTAGCCCAATGTCAACAATTAGTTCTTATGCAACACTTAAGTAGGAGACACAGTCATATTGCCTCGAGGAAATACATTTCCTATCTGGTGCTCTCTGCTAGCAGACATTGCCTGAAAGATGTAAAAAACAGCCACCATATGAGCTGCAGATTTTCTGCTCCTTCAGCAACAACTTAGAATGCAAGATGAATTGTTACATTCTTTCCCCTCAAAAACTGAAGAGGCTTTGCGTGCAGAGGGGCAATTTCAGTCCTTTCTGCTGGTGGAGACAAACAGGCTGAACAGAGCTAGAGGTAAACTGCAGAAAAATAAGTAATTCCGTAATTTTAAAGGAGTTAACTTTCCCTGAATAGCAACATAGAACAGCTTTGAAAAATCAGTTTAACTACAAGTTCCTTCAGTGAATGGAGATGAAAGTTTTTGTAGTCTATTAAAGAGGCATCTCTGTTTCCACCCACAGACTAGTGTGACAGCAGTAGAGTGGGACAACCACAGAGAATGGTGTCCATAAAAAGGACAAGTTATCTCAAATAACCTGCCATATGCTGAGCAGAAGTGCATTACAGTACAAACACTGTTCTGCAGCTGCTGGGATTGAAGACACCCAATCACAAGGTACATACCAAACCACCTCTTAAGCAAAGTAATATAGATAAGGATTGTGCACGTAACAGGAACGCCTAGAAACACATGAGCAAAATGAAGATAGATTGAGTAAGACTTTGGGACAATGCTGATTAAGAATGCAGTGTTGCTGTTGATCTCTACTACTTAAACAGAGATGACAAAAGCACATTCAGAAGAGGTTGCATCTTTGCACTACTTGCAAGTTTTTTTTTTCTTCCCATCAATGTCTGATTACTAGGCACCCAAGAAATCAGCAGCTTATAAAATTTAGGTAAGATTTTGTTGCTTTTTCCTGAACCTCCACACAGGCTCCTGGAGCAAAAGAAGGCAGAAACCATCTTCAGAGCTTCTTCTTTACTCCCCCCTCCCCACTGTGAATGATTCCACAACACCTTTTCCCAGCAGCAGAACCAGCAAGAAATGCATCACATGTACATCCAAATCCCCACACTAAACACTTTCAAGTACTTCAACTCAACAAAATTAAAATGAAGGAAGGAGTCCAGCCTCCATTTGTATTTTCCATAGAAATAATTAAAAGGTTAGAACAACAAATATTCCGTTTAAAGAATCATGTGCATGGCATGAGAAGGAAGGGTGTAAAAGATTGCTCACTCAAGTAAATGTCTTGATATGATAATACAAAAAGCCTACACAATCCACCTCTGTGAAAGTAAAGTTCTGACAGGACACACCTCTAAAACACATCACACATTATTATATACAAAGATCCCCTTTTAGGAGAAAAACCTGAATGAAGCACCATTCTCAAATTCAAGGACAGATTACCTCAGTACTTTACAATAACATTATCAAAAATTACGTAAATGAGAAAGAAAATTCTGGACAGCTTCAAGACTGCTATTTTACAAGCTCTGAGAAAGAAAAAAGGTGGAAAATCAAGTAATGCTCATAATGCTCATGACAATCGCTATCATTTCTATGCAGCAGAGGCTGGCACTACGATTAAGGATCAATATCCAAGTCATATCAAGCACTTCATTGGAACGCACCTAGATCCAAACCACTCCCCATCCAAATTTTTTGTAATTCAGCCTTTGTTTCCACTGCACAGAACCACTCCAGTTTCCCAAGCATGCATCTACTTCCAGCAGCCTTCCTTGCCACAAATCACTGCACACCTTTCTTGCACATAACCTTTCAGTCTTCACCTGTAAAGACCTGCACACCTCTTAACACAAATGCCTTTAGCGATTCTCTCAACTCAGACTCTAGACCCCAAATACATTTTTGTGCCTTCTCTCACGCCCTCGTGCAAGGGCAGCCTCCTCTTCTAGAAGATGGAAAACAATTCTTAATATGTTCCTCCAGTGGTTGAGGGGCAGAGCTAGGAAAAGAGCAATTACAGTAAATGAAATTTTCTCTCAGTGGGAGACTTTCAGAGCACTGCCAAGTCTAGAAGACAGTGGCAGATTGTGCACAACCTAATGGATCTGCATTGACATGGGAACTCATATTTTCCATGAAATACTTGTGCTCAACTATTACTCATCCATGTTTTTTCTTGGCAAAGTTATCTCAGCTGGCTCTTTCTTGAAAGCACTGCTTTTCAAACCTGCCCTTCTTAGGCTAAGAGTGCTATACTGAGTTTAAAAATCTAGTCACTTACTATTTTGCATATCCATTTTATCCCTATCTATACTAACAGGGAAATGAAAGGCAGTATGTCATGTTGTTTAAATTGTAGGCTTTGGTTGAGCAATTCTAAGGTAAAGTGGAAAAAGCAGTTAGTATTTTGCCAATTTATGGCATTATTTCCACTCTGATAACCCCACTGGCTTGTCTAGCATGACTGTGCTATGCGCACTGACTCACTCCTTGTATTCCTTTCTCTTTAACATAATATTTGCCATAGGTCTTATGATTATGCTTAGCTTTGTTTTGAGATAAGAACTATTGACTGCTATTAAGTTTTAAGCTCTACACCAGAATTACCTGTAAATTTACTAATGAGAACAAATAATTAATTCAAAATCCATTTTAAATATTGCAAGTTTTATAAAGGTACCCTTTTTTATTAAAACAGAATGAAACTGATTCACAATAAAATTAAAATCACAAGTAGAATATGAATACTCTAGTAATAAACATGGGGAAACTAACCTTAATTGCAGCTTCTCTCAAGGCTTCCAGCCTCTGTCTACTGCTTTCTTTCATGTTTACAACATCTTTGTAATCACCCTGTAGAGCTCTCTGGAGGCCATGAATTGCCTGAAAGACAGAGTTTTCACTTTCATTTAGCTCCTTTTGGAAAATTTCAAAGGTGTGCACCTGAAAAAGTTTCTCTTCATCAGACAGCCCTACATCCTTCTCAACTGCTCTTATGGCATTTTTCAGTTTGTTGAGAACAACGTTCTTTTGGCGAAGAAGACCAGACAGTTTTCTGCAACTTTCCAACACCCACTGCTTTCTCTGAGTGATAACAGCTCCTTTTCCACGGTGCAGCTTTATTGCATGCTTTACCACATCTTCATGTTCTGCAGGATTTGCTAACTGCCCACAAGGCAATGAAACCAACGTCCACAGAGAAATAAATCCAGTCGCCTTCATTCTTCACTTTATATTGCTCTTGGGAGAGACTGATAATTCACAACTGCTCAGAGGATTCTGCTACATGGTTTCCGCATCTCCAGTCCGCACACCAGGCTGCAAGATAGTACCAATCAGTTATCAAATGTGGTAATGCTGGGCCATGAGGTCAAACAAATGTAGAAAATGTACCCAAGATTGCATCCTACACCATGATCTTTACCAGAACACATATGGTCTCCTTCAGTCAACATTTAACAAAACCAAGAAAGAGCCCAAGGTTATGGACAGATTTTTGGTTTCCTCTTGACTATTTCCTAGATAGCATATTGTTTTAAAAACAGTGACTGGAAAGCTTAGTCATTTCACATGGTACTTATCTGCACTTCTTACATGAAAGAAAAGCCTTTAAAAATATCAGGCAATGATGTCACAGGCTACACTTCAACCTACAACTCCTTATTCTTATCTGTCAGTGAACCTCCTGTATTTTCTCAAACCTATCCTAAAAAAATTACATCGTAATCATTTCTTGTTTATAAAGTCTCAGAAGCATTAACACACTCAACAAAACATAATGAAAAAAAGCCTTACTGAAACAGATTATATTATGAATTGAAATTGTGAAGAAAAAACAGCAAAACCTCCTGGACTTCTGGGTACTACTAGTTTGGATCAAAGACCTTCTTCACCTGAAAGGCTGCAGGGCCTTGGGGTACTTTACTTCAAAGCTTACTACTGATTCTCATGATTTTAAAATAGTTATAAAACCACTAAATCAGTTCATTCTTAAGTTCATTTCCCAGCAACTACTTGAGAGATCCATATATAAACTGCTGTATTTGATTTTAATACCAAGTAGGATAGGATTTTAAAACTAAAAGCTACCTTATTTCCCTCAGGACCTACAGGAAAATGCTGACACTACTGTAAAATAACAAAGTTACAATGTCTTTTAAAAAAAAAAAACATAAAAAACTTTAAACACCTACCACCACCACAAAGCTATACATAGCAATGTATATCTGTACAAAATATGCATTTAACACTGAAGCATGGCATTGTAAAAATGCACAGCACACACAGCATGTTAGTAGATCATCAATACGGCAGGTATTTCCCTAAAACTTGAGCTACAATCTTGATCCCTCAGCCAACAGCCTTACTCAGGAACCAACATGTGGACATGGTCATCTGGGAGCAGTCTTACTAGGAAAGAATCTTCTTTTCCTGTAATGTAGTAACAGTCACAATCCCAAGCAACCAAGTCAGCCATCCTCAGTATATAGAATGATCTCTGAGCAACCTGGTCTTACGGAAGGTCTCCCTGCCCACAGCAGAGGAGTTGGAACTAGATGGTCTTTAAGTCCCCTTCCAATCCAGGCCGTTCTGTGATTCTGTGAGAAGGGAAGATGGCAAGCACAGCCGTGCACTACCTTAATTTTTTAAATGCCCTCTGTTTCAGAGGGAACTGAGAAAACCTGTCTGTGGGTTGTTTTCTTCAATGGAAGCCAAAGTATTTACCTGAAAATAGCTGACTGTGGGCTAGGGTTTAACAATATGAAGAGCTAAAACATTTAAAATTAAGAACTAAAAGTGCAACCGAAGTAACAAAAGCATATCACCTCAGTCTAATATCAATATCACCAGGGAGCCCCTGGTGGTCTAGAGGTTAAGGACGCTGCACTGTCACCGCAGAGGCCCGGGTTCGATTCCCGGTCAGGGCCACTCCCCGGGCAGATGGAGCTCGTTAGCCCTGTAAGGCAATCCATCTACGTCCTGAGGACCTCGCTGCCACCAAGCTGCGCACAGTGTGTCTCACCTAAAAAATCCAATGCGCAGGCTGGAAAGTGTAAAGACCTTCCCCGGATCTTCGTTCGCGAAGACTGGCCATTATATTAATATCGATAAACCAGTAAAGTAGAAATATTTCAGCTGTGGGGCTTACTATTTTTAAGAAATCAGACAAATAGCAACTTCCACCTCCTGGCAGAGTTCTAGAGTGAAATTTAAGGAAATATTTCTTCGTGTATACAAATACTCTCCCTGTTTGGTAGGCTTGGGGCAGAGATTTCGATAATATATTACAACCTATTTCTTCAAGAGAGAGGAAGAAGAAAACACCAGTGTATATCCAAGCTTCTGTCTTCAGGGAGTGGAGTAAAAGACTATACTGCATGGCATGTCTTACACGGTATATCAAACCACATAACTAAATTTCGAGCAGAGACTTATACTAGCAAAGTTCACTCACTGTTGTGCCGCACAAACTTAGCAATGTGGTTCAGACACAGGACAGTTTTGTTTCAGTGCTTTTTACTTGGCGAGCAAAAACTGGAAAACTAGCATCTGGGGCAGTGCTCAAAAGCTCTCACATACCAAAATAAATTATGTGATGCCGAGTGCAAATAAAACAAAATAAATAAAACCCAATAAAAATAAACACTCTGTGCATCAGTAAGTATAAAATCAGAGGGAACTACTGTCGTTTGGAGACCTTATTTAAGCACAGTTGCTTCCTGATGGATTGCAGCTCATCTTCCCCGTTTTTTCTTCCTGACCACGACACTGTAGCACCGGATTTCATCAAGCTGACGATACCGGACCCTGCCTCCAATAGAAACCCCGTTCCCTCTCTTCCAAAACGCCTGCGGGTCCTTCCACACTTCCCAGTTCGCCGCCACCCACCACTTTTCCCCATCGCAGCTCCTCCCCGGGAGCCGCAGGGCAGCCGGGGCCGTGCCCGCCCGGCACCTCCGCCCGGCGCGGTCCCACCTGAGCGCGACGGCAGCTCCCGGCGCCGCTCCCCGGGGAAGTGCGGGGAGCACAGAAAGGGATGAGCAGAGCGCGGATGCGACCGGCCCGTCTCCTGCCCGCTCATGGCGGCGGAGGGACGGGGGGAGCGGCGGCCGCCCCGCCCGGCGCTCCCGGCAGCGACGCTCACCTGAGGGACGGAAGGGGCGGCCGCGGCCGCGGGGGAAGGGCGGGATCGCAGTGCGGTGAGCACGGGGGGTGAGGGGGCGGCGGCCGCTGGCGAAGGGCGCCGAGGAGCCCCGTCCTTGCGGCCGCCCGTGCCCCGCGCCGGTGCCCGAGCGCCGGGGCGGTGCCTTCGGGCGCAGCGCCGGGCGGGACCCGCGCTCCGAGCGCCGCCTCGCGGCGGGAAACGTCACCGCGGCCTCTCGCCGCACGCCGGGAGTTGTAGTCGGAGCCGCAGCCCGGGAGCGGCCGCAGCCGAGGAGCCGCAGCCCGGGAGCCGCCGCCGCTCCCCGGGGCACCCCCGCGGGATCCGCACCGCGGCCCCGCGTTCCTCCCCCGCGTTCCTCCCCCGCGGCCCGTCCCGCAGCGCTCCTTGCGGGAGGCGGCGCGGGCGGGCCGGTGCGCGCCTGCGCGGGAGGCGGCGCCGGGCGGTGAAGTTGGTGGGGGCGCCGGTAATAAAATGGTAGGTTGTGCGAGCGGGGGGAGGGGATGTGGCGGAACCTGGGACAGGGGAGAGCCCCGGGAAACCCCCGGAACAGCCCTCGGGTACTCGCGCCTTCCCGCCGCTCCGGCTCCCGCTGCCCTTCCCGGGGATGGGGCACGACGCCGGGCGAGGAGGGCGGGGGACGCGGGAACAGACGGACACACACACCCCCCCGTGCGGAGTCACCCTCCCACCTCCTCCTGCGCCGGGCCGGGATCGGGGAAGGTCACCGGGGGCGGCGGGGGAGGGGAGGGGGCCGGGCACCGCCGCGGGTATTTCGAGCGCCGGCAGCCGGCGCGGCGCGTACCTTTCCCTTTTTTGGGATTCGGGTTGGCGGGGCAGGTCTCTGGAGCCCCGAGTCCCTCGCTCCCACCGCCCCTTTCTCCGCCGGGGACGCGGCAGGTGCAGCTGGAGGAGGTGGGAAAGGTGCGGTACAATCTCTCTTCCCGGGCCGGGATGGCGGGAGCGGCCGGGGCTGTCCTGGGAAGGAAGGGTTCGCCTGGTGCAGCGGCTCCAGCACTTCCCTGGGATGTGCGGTGCGGTGTCATTGGCGTGCGGAGAGGGCTCCTGGAAGGTGACTGAGCTGTCTAGCGAGATGCGAGGTGCGCATCCTTGTCCGGGTGCCATCAGCGAGGGGTCACGCTGGAGACAGGACTCCCGGAGCTTCCCCGGCCCCGCAGGGAATGTGGCGGGTCCCATGTCCGCTGCGCAGGGCGCAGAGGAGCAGCGGGAACCGTACGACGTGGCAGAGTAGTGGGCTGGGGAGTCGAGTGTGTTTCTTATCGCTGATTCCTTCAGATAACTTAGTGTTTAATTTCTCAGCTTGAAAATATCCCTAAGCACCTTAACTAGGTTTGAAAGAGGACGTGAGGTTTGCTTTGGAGTTGTTGACAGAGACCTCTGTTTTGAACTGATTCTCACTAAGTTCGTTACTCACAAGAAGTTTATGTACCTAAGGAAGATCTTGGTGCAGAGACTCCCATGACTAGACCTTAATGAAAATTTGGAGGCAGAGTCATGGTTACATAGAGCTTGCAGTCAAAGGATTATTGATTATTTTCTTACCAAAATACATTGTAGTTATTTTTGCACCTTCCCCCCCCCCCCCACTGTACATGTTTCTTGTATAAAACGAAACTTTATATGTTTCTCATTATATTAAATTGAAAAATCTTGTCGGAAAGACCAAAGTCCTTATCTTGTTTACGTGATGTATGTCTTGTCTCAGGACTATCTGTACTCGAGATGTCACCATCCATATGTGTACAAGAGATAACACAGGACCATCTTTCAGTTTACTTGTTTGCTTCTTATTGCTCACTGGATAAGTATTCAATTGTCCTTGATATTTAAGAGACCGGTAAATTTTCCATTATATCTGATGATTTAGCCTGTATTGAAGAACTTAGACGGATTTCTCAGGTTAGTTGTTGGCCCAGACCATGTGTTAAGTATGATTCAACAAAACGGGAAAGTACAGAATATAATAAAAAACAGACTTTGATTTAAGGTCTCTCTTCCTAACTTCATGTAAAGAATAATGCTGAGCTATGTTACTAGCAAATTTTGTCTAAAAAAATCCCCCTTTCTATTTCTTGGGTGTTCCAGTTTAGGGATGTTATGTTAGTATGGTTGCTGCAACTGAGAGAAACATCATATTAGTTCCTGTATACCACTGTAGTAGGCTGTATTACTGTTTAATGTATTAATAATAAACATGTATTTTTAAGAGTTTAATTACAGTTTTAGATCACATTTACAGCAATTTTAGAGTCTCATTGTCACATTCAGCAGTTTCTGACGTGTCCACTTCATCTATTTTCTGTCATATGTATTCTGTTGGAAATGTTTTCTAACATAATTATGCGAGAAATGCTTCTGCCTTTTTTAGCTGTTGACTTAGAGTGATTAAACTTTGCATTGTTCACTGTTGCTAGGAAAATATTAGGAAAACTCTTTCAGTATTTTTTCTGTATGTAGGAGGGATTCATACAGAATCTGAGAATCTGTAAGTTGTGCATTCTTAATTTCTTGTTTTTATAACCACTAGGCATATCTTTCAGAAGATAACCACATTGTTATATGATGAAACTTGTGTTTACTGCTGTTACAGAACAGAAAAACTGCATATATGAGCAATAAAGCAGAAATACAAGTTTGTTGCTGCTAGAACTTGTGCTGCTAAAAATGTATATATAGATGCTGTCACATCAGTTTTCAGAAGAAAATGGTGTCTTTTTGACTACAAAAGAGCAAGGCTTTTGTCTTCCTGTAGTTCTGAAGTGAAAGTTGTCATCAATAAGACAACTAAAACCTTTTAAAGATAGGCATTAGTAGTAGAATGCTGAAACAAACTTCTGGATTAGCTTCATTGGCTTTCCTACTTCTTTTGCATCCCAAAGCATAAGCTTAAATCGTCTCAGAAGGACAAGGTCCGCCAGTTTATGGCCTTTACCCAGGCTGGTGAAAGGACTGCCATATACTGCTTAACGCAGAATGAATGGAAACTAGAAGTGGCAACAGACAACTACTTCCAGAATCCAGACTTATACTACAAAGAATCCATGAAAAATTCAGTAGACAGGAAGAAATTAGAACAATTGTATAATCGATACAAAGGTAAGGCTTGTGGGTTTTTTGTTGTGGGTTTTGGGGTATTTTTTCCTAATCGTTTTGTTCGGGTGTTTTTACTGCTTTTCCATCTGCCCTTCTTATGGACTTCTAAGTAACGCTTCCTAGCTTTTGCTTCTCTCTCTGTGTTTGTGATAATGAGATAAGAATGAAAAAGGTTTAAAATGCTCGTAAGGATCAGTACACAACTTCTGGAGAGATTCCTGTAGAGCTTAAAAGTAGGAAATTCAATCGTGAGGAAGAAGTGTCAGCTATGTATGGTACAAAGTTTATTACACAACTTATTTGATTTATTGCCAGTGGTTGCTATTAAGTATGTAAATGTTGTAACTTTCCATGGCAAAATAATACATGTTGTTCTTATACTAATATTTGGAGGAGCTAATTGTGTTTAGAACAGTAGGATTTCTACATGTTGAAGTTTTAGGTAGCATTACAGGTAGGAGTCTGACAAAACAGTCAAATAAGAAAACTCAAACCCAAGAAACTCTCTCCTTATTTTAGTCTTCCTGCTGACATTACAGCAACAGCGATGTGCCTATTAAGAGATGCTTGGAGGGAAAGTCACAGGAAAGTGAATTAAAGACAGAGTTGGCTCCTTTTCCATGTTTTACTTTATAGCATTGTTAAAAAAGAACAGAAAAAATATAAGGAAAAGACAGCCATGTAAATATAAGAATGTGCATGATCCAGCTTACAGTGCTTGCTGAGCTGTGGCCATCTGACATGTTGGAGCAGTGCAGGCTGGAATCATGCCAGCCCCTGCTGAGATCCATACATCTTGTGTTTTAAAACATGACCTCTTAACCACTATTCAACTATGATTTTATGTACTTGAAATATATGTCATGCTTCGTATACACTTTATCCTGTTCTTATGATATTGTTTGCACTTTCATTCCTCTTTACATAATCTGTTTTAAGTGTGTGGATTCTTTCATATTCCATTATTTTGTGGTAATTAATTGTGTAGGGAAAAAGAGCCAACAAGGCTATAGCATTTTCTTTGTGAACCTAGAAAACCTTTTTTGGTTTTTAAATATTTATATGTTTACATATATATAACACATATACATGAATCTAAATCTTTGCTTGCTCCTTGTATGTCAGTCTTGGAGATTGCTGGGTCAAAAATAGGTATTCAAATTCTTAAATGCTGCTAAGAATATCTAAAATGGAAAAAATTTATCACAAGTGTTAATTCATCATTTTCTAGCAGTGGGAAACTGCACCATTTGACTTCTGTGGAAGGAAGTCTAGTCAGTTTTACGTCAGTGTTTAAGTTTGCAGTACACCTTTGTAGTTCTGGCACTTCAACACTTGAAGTTGTAAACTCAAAAAACACTTCACAAGATTTGACATAAGACAAAAATTTCAGTTAGGCACCTTTCCTTTTTTTCATATCTGCCTTAAACCTGAGTCATTGGCCCTGCAACAACAAGGAATTCCTTTGTTCTACAGGGCCTATACAATATTGCACCATCCTTGAAATCTGACATGAAATGTCTTTCATTTTCTATGTTGTCTTTTTGTTAGTTTTCTTATCTGTTTATCCAGCAACTCTGTTAAAACAACAATTTCATTTTTATTTGTAGTTACCTGGATGACGTGAAACATGATAGGGATGAAACAGTCCTTGTTGAAATCCATCTGAATTTTTTTCCACTGATTGCAACACAGTGCACTTCTCACCTTCGGTTCCTCAATTATTCCCCAAATATTCGAGAAATATGTTTTACATGTCTTAGAACTAGTTGAATAGATACATTTTCTTGTTATTCAGGATCAGAGGTCCCTGAATTACACCATGGTTGTAATTCTTTGTTTAATGGGTATAAGTCTTTGACTTTGCTAAATTAACTTCCTCTCTGGAATTTACCACTTTTTTCACTGTAATATTGGCTGAAAAAATAGAAGAGAGCTTAAGAACTAAAATAAAAATCAAAAAAAATTGATTTAGACTTGATTTCTTTTTAATCAACTTATTGGATTAGGACTTAAAAATAGCATGGTTGAAAATCTTGCCCATTTAAAGAGTTAGTCTTAAATTTACTTGAGGGACGTTTTTCTATAAAGCCCAACTTATTATACTTAAATGTCTTCCTGTCAAAAGCTGGGAAAGTTTTGTGGTTTGTAAACTGGCAAGCTTCAAAACTAGAGGTGTAATTTTATTTTCTTTTTTGTCATAATTTGATTTTTCTTTGTTCCCCTAACCAATAATTTGAGTTTACATGCAGGAGTTATTGTTTGTTTGGGGTGGGGAGGGTTAAGAGAGAATTTTGTTACAGAATTATTAGAAGACATCTACCCTGACATAGGTGGTTAGGAAGTGCAGTTCTAACATTCAGAAAGATTCTGCTTAGTAGTACTGAAACGTGGTATTTCCTAAGCTAAAGTTTCTGTTATGCTAAGACATTGTTTGAACAATGACTTATAATTGAAAGCCAAAAATGTTTAACTGTGGTCTTTAAACATAGTTATAGTGGATACTCATATGTCCCTATCAGGAAAAAGAATCTGTGGGGTCACATGATATGTGTATTTTTGTTGGGGGTGATTTTGGGTTGCTTTTTTTTCCCAAAATATTTTATGGAGCATTATGGAGAGAAAGCAAAACTGTTTTGTTTACATTAGCTGATGAGTTTAGGAAAAAGTTGCAAACCAATTTCTAGATAAATTCACAGAATACTTTATTTATTGATTCTTTCTGAGGTACTTTTAATGTTAACTAGATTTCAAATGAAAACATTTGTGAATGTTATGAAAAAATTAAGACCTATGTTATGCAGCATATAAGAATTGTCATGATCATTTGTAAATATTTTTGTAAGTAATTATAATTCTCCTCTTTGTATTTTGAACTGCAGACCCCCAAGATGAAAATAAAATTGGCATTGATGGAATTCAGCAGTTTTGTGATGATTTAAGCCTGGACCCAGCCAGTATCAGTGTCCTGGTTGTAGCATGGAAATTCAGGGCAGCTACTCAATGTGAATTCAGTAAAAAGGAGTTTGTTGATGGTATGACAGAGTTGGGGTAAGTATCCATTTCTTCATAGTTCATAATGTAAGGCCTGAGCTCGGTTTCCATTTAAAGCATTTCCAGTTAAATTATGTGAAGCTTTAAAAAGCTGGTGAGGCTGGTGCCAAGCTTAACAGGTGTTAAATGCCTATAGTGTCTTGTCTGCCTAAAATTGGAGCTTTATTGCAAAGCCTTAAGAATGACCACAGTTGGGGAGGAGCAAAGCAATTTCTACCTGTGCAGCAAGGGAGGGAGGCAGATACACGTACCTTTTTATGTAATTCATAGTAAACATGTGCGTGGTTGTGTTCAGGATTTGAGTTGAACTGCGGGCTTTTAAAAACTGGAAATCACTGGAGGTGTATGAAGGGGAAAAAAAAAATTCACTGCTGAAGCAGAAAAGAAACAGGAAAACAGAAAAGAACCTTCATTTCTTTCCTTTATCTTGTAACCACTGAATGGACCTTTTTTCTTTTTGCTTGTTTTACCACCCGTGCTTTTGTCATATTGCCTTTTATACTAGATACTTCATTTGTGCAAAATATATACGAGAAGTTGAAATAAAAATGAGGGCATTGTTAGTAGAAAAGGTTATTTAGTCAGACTGTGATGTAACTGATTAAAAAAACTTTCCTTCCTGGATTATGGAGCTGTTCTGAATAACAGACTTTGAGGTTAAACATTGCCTCTGTTGGCTATAAAGTCAAGAATGTATCATCATAAAATAATACTTTGTGTATAACTTTTCCTTGCAAGAGGGGCAGTATTACTAATATATAGAGATGTCAAAATGACTTCTTTTTAACAGATTGCTTTAAATAGGCCAATAATTACAGGTTATTACTAGTGCATGTTTTTTGTAGCTAAATAATCTCATTTGATCTTAGAATGGCACCTTTCTACAGCAGACCAACTCCTAGCAAATGTGGTGGTTGTTTCTTGAGCAGGGGTCCCAGCAGCCTGTTGTTACTGACCTTATCAGTCATTGACTTATTTTTAAGCTTTCCTTTTTAGGTATTAATAAATTGTGATAAAATAATTTTTCATATTTTATGAACTCCATTGTTGGGTTTTTTTTCCCATTGGATAGCTTTGGGTAGAAATTACAAGAATAATGGTATTCTAGCCATGGACAGCAGTTAAGTGCTCATGCCTTTATATTAAAGGTTGCCATATTACTATTTTTTAAATAAAACTGATTAAAAAGGTTTTGCTAAACAACTTGTGACTTCTAGATTGGATTTTGTTTTGTAACTTTATTATAGTCACATTGCTGCTATGACCTTCTGACTGTCTCTGACACAGTTCATAGAGGTCTGGGATTTTTTTTCTCTCTCAACACACAATAAAATGTTCTTAGAAGCCTAATATGATCATGTCTGCTTGCCACTGGTATAGCACTTACTGAGAATTCAGAGTGATTTTGTTACATACTTGAAGGCGCAGTGTCTGTGGTTTTTAGCAATGTACATAAGTGAACATCTGAATGAAAAGAAATTCCCTGAGGCTTAGATCATATAGCATTTTTAGGATGCACATGGGAAGTATATTTGTTGACTAGATCAAGTCCCAGTGAAACTGAAATTCTCCATTGAGTACTGTTGGCAGAATTCCTCATCTTTTCACCAGGTACTGCTGTAGGCCAGAAAGGTACTTATTTTTATCTGTACCGTGCAAGACAGTTAAAACTGCATTTGCATTTTACACATTTTGCTAGTTACCCATCCTTTAATAGAATTTTTTCTTGAATCTTTAGAGTAAATGCAAACATTTAGCTACAGAAAACTTTCTAATGCACCATGTTAGTTATGATAGCTCTTTCTTTTGAAACCTGCTTGCTTCACTTTGAGTTTCTGGGTACAATTCAAGATACTGGTAATGTCTTGTAAACCGTGAGTATTCATTTGATGCCTTGGCATGGGGGAAAACTCTTTTTCTTTGATGTCTTGTCAGCTCAGATACATTCACTGAATATGCTTCAGTTTTGTTATTTGGGGGGTGTGTCTCTGTTAGAATCTCAGTAACTTGATTTCTGTCTTAGCTTACCTGCCCCAGGCTGTTAAATGGTTTGTTTGCCTTCAGGCTATAATCAAGGCTCGTTTTTCTTCCTAGGTTTTATCCTCAGGTGTTCTATGGCTGGGAAAGAAGGACTGCAAATAGTAGCTCAGTTCGGTGGAAAGCCCTCTAATGCTAAGAATAACTCCAAACATAGTGATGCAGCTCCTTCTTTAGGAGAGCAGGGAATAAGCAGTATCTATTTAGAATAAAGCAAAACACTTGTGTTGCAAGAGCTGTCTAGGGGGAAAGGATAGCAGATTTCAGCGAGACCTATATGTTCTTTAAGAACAGGATAGCATCTGTGCATAAATTCATGAAGGGACAGAAAGGACGTTAAACCACTGAATCCTGTTTGTCTTGTGTACGTAATGGGTGCAGGCATGCAATGTTCTGCTTCAAATGCCTTAGTGAAGGCATGTGAGTGTTTACGTTTTTAAGAATGCTGTCCACAAAGATACTCTGTTTTTATCTTAACTACTGTTTTGTTTTACTCTGAAACTAAACCATAAAAAAGGGAGGGGCGTGTAAAAAGAAATCTTCAGTATTTGAAAATAATGTAACCTCTCTTGAACAGGTGTGACACCACAGAAAAACTAAAAGCTCTATTGCCAAGACTTGAACAAGAGCTAAAGGATCCAACAAAGTTCAAAGATTTTTATCAGTTTACTTTTAACTTTGCTAAAAACCCTGGACAAAAAGGTCTAGGTAAGTAGAAAAAAATCAAGAAAATGTCTACAGTCAGTGAAGTCAATTCGAAATACTTCCAGTACTGCAATATTCTCGTTGATGCTGGTATATAGTAAATTCATTATGGACTTCTTTCACTGACTTTTCCTCTTTCCCCTCTTCTTTCAGTTAATCTCTTCTTTAATGTCCCTTTGGTACAGATAACCTAATAGGTTTTTCTGCTGGTATTGACATTCTCTCACCTCCTGTCAAAAAAGTTCCTGCAGTTCTTAGAGACCCGTCAAATTTAATTTTTTTTAAAATACCGAATTAATGAGCTCTTCGTGTTCCCATTTTGCTTAGAACTACTGAAACAAGATGTCCATATCAGCTCAGGAAGAGGCAGAAAACTCTGGGCCAAAATTACTCTTCTTCCAGAAATTTTTAGGTTTAGTTCACAGTTTTTATATAAAGTTTAGAAAAATAATATTATGGAAGTGGTTCAACTAAAAATAGGCATACAGTTAATAAAGTGTTAAATTATTATTTTTACAAGGTTTGAGATTTGTCCCAGTCCATGCTCATTTTGCTGGAGTAAAACTCATACATTATTTAAAATAAATTCAAATCTGTTATTCTCTTCAAATTTAGTTAGTGAACAGATGAGAAAAAACAGTAAGATGAAATCCACTGTCTCATCAAACTTATGTCCACTTTCAAAAAACACTGTGTAGGAAGGAATTAAACTGTTTTGCACATTGAATATAATAGCACTGTACCATCGTCACTGTTCTCTTTGTGCTGTGAATGAGAGGAAGTTGTTTGGTTTTTTGGTGGGTTTTGTTGTTGTTATTGTTGTTGCTTTGGTTTTTAGCATAGCCACTTTAAATCTGTGTCTGTGTTACTTGGCAAGTTTATAAATATGTTTTTCTCAAGAACCATTGGAAGAGTAGTGAGATGGAGGAGGAGAATATTGCTATAGACATCAACCAGGGGCGCCTATTCCACATTCTTTCTTGGGAACTACTTTGAATTATCTCTTCATTTTTTGTAGCAGTTTCATTTTTCATTACCTCTGTCACTCTCATGACTTACATGCCACTTTTTGTGACACAGAAATGAAATAGTTTTGTGGTGGTTCCGTGAGGCTGGTTGGAATTCCAGTCCTTTAGTTACTCTTCATTAACAAAGCTGAGTGCTTTCAAATTGCAGAAAAGGTAAGTCAATTACAGCTGAGGTTGGAATTTATGGGACACCTGAAGAACTGAACGTGCTGTTTATTTGACATGGGGAGGGAACTTACTTGTTTTCCATTACTTCTGTTTATTCAATATTGGAGGCACTTTGATATTTAAGGCTGTCTTCTCTGTGATGTAACAATGCCACTTTTTGTGAATAAAGTTCCTTCTTACACTAAGAGTTGAGGTATTAGCAGAAGAAAGAAAATGGTAGTGCATCTTTTTTTTTTTTAAACAGAAATAACTCTTGAGAATAAACCTTACCAGAAATAGGTCTGTGGTAGGCACACTGACTTAAACAATCATTTTTCATGTTTATTATCTTAGCATATTGAAACCATAAGAAATTACTGAAGTATCTCTAAAATGTTCAAACAGCAATGCTTTGGATATGAGTCATGTTTATTGTTCCATCAGTATTTTAATACATATCAGATTACTTTTTTAAAATCTCTTTCTGATGTTTTAAGAAGTGATAAGCAGCAGTTACTTTATTTTTTTTCTTCCCAATCCCCCCTGAAAAGCATCAGGAAATACAGTGATTCATGGGTTCCTTTTTAATATGCCAGGTGATCTTTAAATTTAAAAGACAGAGAAACTCTTCTGTAGTGTCTTCCCTTTTGCCAGACAGGATCGGGATCTACCAAAACCATTCCTTGCAGATGTTTTTCTAACCAAATGCTCAGTGATCTGCTAGCAGTATATGCTAACCTTTTCAGTTTCAGTAATTATCAGCAAGATTTGACATCTGATTGGCAGGGGTCCTCTGGCTGAAAAAGTTTGGGGACCACTGCCTTGACATTATATAATTTTAAATTTGTGATGGCAGGTCTCACACATCTATGTCCATGCTTGCTTGAATCTATTGTTAGGTTTCTATTTTCTTTTTTCTAGCATATAACTTAAATCTCTGTTCCTGAATTTTCCAATTCATTACTTACCTGATCAAAGTAAATATGTAGAATGCATGTGTCCTTAGAGCGAGTAACAACTCTTTACTTATTTAGCAGTTATGTATGTGCTTTCCCTTAGTTTCTAGACTGAGTAAAACCAGCTACTGTTGATGCCTTTAGGCATCACTGTAATAAATTTTATCTCATAGCACTCTGATACTGATATTTTGTTCTCCAGCTCTTCTTCTTTGCAATCCAATTGATCTTTTGTCTTGTAGCACCCAACCAAACTGGGTATCTTCCACGTGCCTTAGATATTTTGCTCCTTCTTTTGCATCCCATCAAGTTTGCTTGTTTGATACTGTCTGCAGTTTGCAGTCTGCAGCACTGGTTTCTTTAGGGTTTTTGCAGCAGTGTTGTGCTCCCAGCTAACTTTGATCTTTTCTTTCTGCAGTTGATTATTCCCACTGGCTATATGACTTCTGTTTAATGAAATCTTTCCTATTTACTTCCAAGTAGTTTTCCAATTTGTCCGAATAATGTTGAATTCTAATCCTGTCTTCTACCTTGCTACACTTTTATAAGGTCTTGTGTAAGTTGCAAATTTAATAAAAGTTTTCTTTGTTGCATTGTCTGAGTTACTTAAGTATTGGGCAGTGTCAGATACTCCATGGATGAGTTACTTTCTCCCAGTTTATCCAAGAATGACTGAGGTTCTTCTAAAACTTCTTTGACCTTTATGCAGTTTCAAAGATGGTGGGTAGGAGTTTGAAATTGCTGCAGCATACTGAGATGAATTTCACCATTCGCTTTGGGCAGCTGTGCTTTAAGACTGAATTTCTAAAAGTTATTTCTGAAATAACTGTCAGTTTTCATTGAATTTTTTTGCCTGGAGCATATCTTGAAAAAAAAATCTCTGTGTGTCCCAGAGTTTTTTATTTCCAGGGTTATCAGCAGGATACATAGTATCTTTATCATACCAGCTGCCATTTGTAAGGGAGTGGAATGGCACAGAAGCCCTTCTTAGAGGTGATTTTTTGGTTATAGAAAAATTTTGGTGTTACCTGACACAGATGTCTTCATAATGCAGTGTGGATTTTGCTCCAGGAAAGTGGTCTTCATTGGAAGAGGAGGAGTGTGGGTTTATGTTTTATTTATTTATTTTTAGAACAGCCTGTCTTCCATTGCTTTCTTATTTCTTCTTCTGCAGTTCCCTTCAAAACCAATGCAAGAAATTCTGCCCTTATGTAATTAGAATCCTCTCCAATAAATTAAGTTGCATCTGTTCTGTCATTCCCCAAAATAGGCACAGAGTTCGGTACACCAATACTCATTCCTAGAAATAGGACAGCCTTTTATAGGAGTCTCTTTTCCACAGTTCGTGTGGTGATAGGGGGGAAATTTTTATTTCTCTTTTTATCTGTGGGACCTCTGTCTCTATAGTCTCATCCAACTTGAATGTTCCATTTACTTTTATTACCTTAATATTACCAAGTAGTGTGTTTCAGTCTGGACACATGCTGTTTAAAGAAGTGAAAGTAGTAGCACTCCCCCAGTGTGACAGCTCGTGTAAGTAGTGGGATGCCGGAGGCAAAAGCACAGTGCATAAGATCTACCATAATTTTCTTTAAGCAGAAAATGATGTTCTGATTAATGTTACTCAGCACCCAACTGTCAAGTGTATTTCAGATAAATCTGAATAGATTTGATCGTGATCGAAGAAGAAGGTGGATGCTTATAACCACTAAGACTGTGACTCTCCAATTGGTGGACAGAATTCAGGCAAAAAAACATAGCTAAGTTTCAACACAGCAGTGCCACCTCAATGGCTGACTGTTGGATCTGGCATACATAATTTTTAGATATAATAAACTTCATTTGCATGCTTCCTATATATTTTGAGTTGTAATAGGGGCAGTTTATTAAGGTCTGGTTTGCCAGGAGACTTTAAAAAGAATTATTATGGATAACTGTGATTCAGTCTGTTTACTGTGCACTCTCATGTTCTCACTACTGTATATTGTACAATAAATCTTGAAGTTTTGCGTGGTGCAGATTTGGAGAGGTTTATCTTGCCTTCTGCTCCTAAATTTTAGCTGTTCTACTGCAGTCAGAGTGAAATTTAGTATTCTAACTCTTGGTTGATAAGTGTACTAAAGAACAGGATTACAGGTCTTTTGTCATATTGCGTACAGAGGAGTTCAGATTTCTAAGGCCACTGTTCAAGCTCAAAACAAGGCCTTAGCTTCATCTTTTTTTTCTCCTTTCTTTGAACCTGATACTTGCTGTGATTCTCCTAGTGGGTCTCCCTTTGAGCCTCAACAAGACATGCTCAGGAGTTTATTACAGTTTGTTTCAGCACCAGGAGGAGCGTAATGCATTCTTTCATGGTCGTCATCTTTCAACATGGAAACGAAAAGCTGATTTGGTCCTTCATCACTTCTTTGTGATCCCTTCGACTGCTTGCTGGCTCAAAAGGTTGTGCTTCCTTCTCTCTGCCAGTTGCCTGGGATCAAGCAAGAAATGAAAGATGAGGAGGGCATTCAGACTTGAATCAAATATTACTTCAAGACCAGAAGAATGACTCTCTTTACATCCGGTATGTGGACTTCAAGGAAGTTTCATCTTCTATGAGCAGATGAGTATAATGTGCTCTTTTTAATTGAAGCAACATCAGCTTTGGCTTTTGTCATAGCAGTATCTTGAGATGCTTTGAAGAGACTCTTAGACTTTAGGGAAGGATTTTTTTTTTTCTATTTTGTTTTTCTTTCCCCCCTACCTAGTTATCAAAACTTCCTCCCCTTTCAGTGAAGAATTAGATTGATCCATTCATTGGCTATTTGTAGGAGTCAGTGGATGGAAGATGTTGAAGGAGTTCAACTTGAATTTCATGTTTATTTTGAAAGAGGTCTGTGGATGCTGCATTTTAGGTGTTCCAATGGCTTTGGTCTGTGTGTATGGTACTTGCTTTATTTTTGTTCACATTTTTCTTGCTGAAAGTACCAGCAATTTAACTTGGTGTAAAAGAGGTGCACTCATCAAAAAAGGCCAATAGTACCAGCAAAAATGTGGTATAACTGCCACTTCTAGTAATGCTTTATTGATTCTTTTACTCATATTTGGCCCTTATTTCAGAAATATAAATCCAGTCATCTTTAAGGCATCTGTTGTATGTTATCTGAACTGTACGTGCTAAGATTTGCAGAGGCAAAAGGATTTTGGAACTGACTACAGTCAGGTTCGTTAGGCCACACTCAAACTGATGTTTAGATAGCCATCTTCTAAGTCTAGCTTGCATTCCAAAGCAGTTCAGTTTCTGCTTTTGTACAGTTGATGCTTAAGATAATAAACATGAAAGGTTCTGCATGTGGTCGGCCTGTTTCAGTGTGGCAGATGCCGAGATAGAGCTAATGAGCACAGTCAGTTCCTGCAGTGCTCCTCTGAAATCCATATGCTGTGCTTTACCATTCTTCCTTGTCCACTGCAGACACTTCATCTGACACTGTGCATTATACATCCCGTAACGCAGAGCACTGAGAAACTCATTGCTAATGTCTTTGCAAGGATGAGCGGATCCAGCTGGGCAGGATCCGGAGTTTAGCTATGATCTGTATCAGTATCACACCCTTCACCAGTTTTTTTTTTCCCTTCTCTCTTCCTTCTGTGGGGGAACTTCCAGTTGCAGATAAAGGCTATTTTTCTCTAAGCTTCTGGGAATTTGGTGGGACATTTTTGGGTTGAATCCTCATGGTACTTTCTTGTTATTTTGCTGATTAGGAAAGAAGAAACTAATTCTTGTGTCTGTGTTCTTAACTTGGAGGCAAAAGAAGACTTAAAATCATTCAGAGATGAGGAAACAAGGAATTGAGTAACTCATTGAATCTTGCAAGTATTTCTTTGATGTTTATTGCTCAGGCAGCGGGGTAGTCAAGCAGTTTGATAGTCCAGTTGTTGAGATAGATTGACACCAGTTTCCATTGTTCCCATAGCTGCATCCATTTTGACACAGTGTCAATTTAGGCGCATTAATGATAATATTCCAACAGTTTCAAACATGACTTCATGAACAGCTCTTGTTGGTAGGGCAGACTGAGAGCTGGAAAGGTCTATTTGGCAGAGGATGACAAGTGAATGCTGCAGTCCCGGAGTGCGGTTTTGGCACAGCAGGTCTAAATGAACTGCGTTTCGTGTTCCTCACAGATCCTACTCTCCAGTCAATTCCTTGCTATCTGTTGATTTCTCTTTTGGTTTTCACTCTTCCTGGATTTCTTGCATGCAGTGATTTCATTGCCCTTGTCCAAAATCATAATAAAAGCATAAGGAACTTAATTTGATTCTTATTTATGCAGCAATCTAATAATGATTTTTTTTCTTTGTTAACAAGATAAGGATTTGATCAAATCTTGAAAATAGGCACAGGCTGTCTAACTGATAATGTATTTCTCCTTCTGCATTAATTATGCTATTTGTTATCACTTCAAGCTTTCTGTTCAGGGTAGAAGAGGCTGAGTTTTTTTAAAAGCAGTTTTAGAATGAGGCTGTAATGTTTCAGAATAGATCATACTGCATGCAAAATACTGTATTTCTGACTGTGAAAAGCTGATTGTTTAAGGGGCTGCATGACATAAAACTTGCTAGATGTTGACATTGAAAATATTTTGAAAGGAAAAGTTGAAAAGAAAGCTCAAACCACTCTATAATGTACAGTAATGATGTGGTATTTTTCATGTTCCTCAAACATTAACCATTTAGCCATTTTATGTTTTGGATATGAACATGGATGTTAGCAATGAAGTATCTTCTAAACTGATCCTTGCCTGTGTGTTTTCAGAGATTTGTGCATCTGTCTTTTGCTTTCCATTTATAAAACTTGCATTATTAGTCTATAATGTGGGAAGCATATTTTTTTGTACAAACAAAGCATATTTTATAATTGTAGTTTGATTTTTATGTGTAATGATACCTTCATATCTATGCAGCATTGAAAAGTGTACTCCTAAGACTGCCTGGGAAGTTCTTGCCTTGCAAATCATCTCCTGGGGGGATGCAGAATTCAAATGGCATAAGGCCTTTTCTTTTTTTTTTTTTTTTAATATGTATTAGTTTGGCACTAATTGTAGCTGATACAGTCTCTACAGTGCTGCTGTTTATTGATACTACTGTGAGCATCCTAATGTAGAATTGGAACTCTGTAATTAGGTCTTCCCTTTAAAGCAAGAAAATCTTTTTTTGTCCTCCAGTGTGAAGTTTTCCAACCTAGGTAGGGAATTTTCTTCAAACAGAAGACATAAGCCCAGAGAATGTGGCACACCTGAAGGCCTAGTTTTCTCATGTGCTGTAAGACTGCATCAACTGGCACCACTACAAAAGTGATAGTCCCATCTACTCCTTTTGTTCAAATAACTCTGCTTCGTGGGTTTGCGGGATTACGGTGAACCTCAGATGTGGGAGACTAATTTTTTTTTATTTTTTCCCTTGGGCAAATTTTGCCAAGATCAGAACTTTCTCCCTTGTGCCTGATGGGGAGAGCAACTCCAGTGTGGACCAGTTTCAGCCCCTGCAGAGCAACATCCTCAGTGGAATATGCGTTTGTCATACCTTATAGCAAATAATTCCTATGTCTTTGTGCAGGAGAATACCTTGGCACACACATGTACTGTGCCCCTCAAGTGTCAACTTAAGATAGTATTTCACATGTGTTTTCACAACTTTGCAATAATCAAGATCACGTTAACATAATACTGAATTTGACGCAAACACCCAGATAAAACAAGGAAGTCTGATCACTTCTGTCTCTTGCAACTCTTCTCTTTTGGCATCTTCAGCCATCTTTGTTTCCCTACCTCTACTTTTTTCCTTTTCTCATGGAATGTTTCCGTCAGAAGTATAAAAATTCTTCAGCTATTAAGTGTTACTTCTTTTAAGTGCATTTTGCTTAATGTTGTCACATGATAGATTTGCAAGGTTTACTTGGAAAGGTTGAGTCTTCGTAAAGAAGCCTGAGTGAATTGGATCAAAGCCAGTCACTTCACAGTGAAGTTTAGAAGCTCTTAAGATTATTCAAATCCCTCTCTTTTCATTTCTTTTGCTTTTCATTTGGCATAAGAGGTAAGAATAATTAATCTGCATATCTTAAGCAGCAAGTAAATGCTATTAATTACTTGCTTCTGCTTATCTTTTGTGAAAAGTGAGCATGGTGGCAAAGACAGGAAAAACTGAAAGAAGTTTATTAGGGCATAATTAGGACATAGTACAAGTTCCGCACTGAGGAGCACTCTGATCGTAGTAGGACAAACTGGCAGCACTGTCTTGATATAGCCAGGTAGAGGTGTACTGGATTTCTCTACATCTTAACTATTTCACTTTATCTGTGCCCCAGCCCTGTATGATACAGGGACTCTAGGGACATGGCTATGTTAAGATCTGGAACATTTTCCTCATTCTTGAAACTTGATTTCAGGTGACAGAGTGTCCTTTGATTTGTAATGATACATACAGTGTCAAAACCTGTGCTGCTTTCTTGCAGGTGGAGGTCTTAATCTGCTATGACAGTACTTTCTGTTAAGCTTTATATTCTGTTAATACTTCCTTTACCCTGAAAGCACAAGCTGAAATATTTTTGTGGTTTAAGAAAGGCTGTGCTTTACTTTGTGGTTGCACAGCAGTAAGCATACTCTTAGTGCTGTTACCTGGAGGAGCAGGCACAGAAGCCATTAGGTATTGTGAATTGCTGGAGATGAAAATAGGCCTTCAAGTAAACATTCTTTCTACCTGTAAGCTGCATCTAATATTGCTTCTGCTTTTCTGCTGGAGTATGTGGCAGTGCTGTATCTTCCCTCGAACTCTGCTCTCAGATCACTGGTCATGATGAAGAATAAGGGCTGCTTTCTTGGACTTGCATTTTCAGTATTGTGTGAAGATGTTTATCTATGAAATGATTCCAGAAGAAGAGAATTATTGCTCTAAGGGGTTCTCTAGAATCATAATGCCACAGACAAATTTCTTTTTTTTTTACCCTTGTGTCCTTCAATTCCCTTCACGGTCAAATTTATATAAAATGTGATAAATTAGGAGGAATTGACACCTGTGGATTTAAATGTTTGTGTTCCTACCGATATTTGCTGTGTTTATGCATGTGTATATTTTTTTAGTTGTTAATTTGCAGACAGAGTTATCGATAACTATTTTTTTCTGTTTCTGTAGATTAAATCTGGTACTGATGAGTGATGACAAAAATATTTTACTCTTAATGATTTTGATGTTCAATACACAATTTATACTGTTACTGCTTGTCTTCTACCTTTTGGTTCAGTGAGAGTAGAAAAAAATTCCTTATTTTTTTAGTGATTTTAAATGAATGTTATTCATTTGTACCATAATATACTGGATGTAGCATTAATACTTTAAACATAAGGGTTTTATTGCATATAATGGGCTGTATATTTATGTGTTGCTTTATCTCTTGCAGATTTAGAAATGGCAATTGCATATTGGAATTTAGTCTTGTCAGGAAGGTTTAAATTTCTAGATCTTTGGAATAAATTTTTGTTGGTAAGTATGCACTGTATCCCTTACTGCCTGTCTTAGTCTATAGTAGTCTGACTGTTGTAGGTTGTGTGCTTCCAGTAAGAAAAAGACAGGGTATCTGAATATTTCCTTTGAACTTTTTCCTTTTTGAAAACTGATATAAAACAGTCTTCAATCAAGCCAAATTAAATCTTCTCTATATAATTTTCCAATTGAGAAGAATGCAAAACGATGTAACAAAGCAATAGAGTATTCTGCTTGCTTGATCCTGTAACCTGCTACTTATGAAAGTTTCTGCATGAAAGGAGGCTGTGCTTGTAGGTTCCACTGATGCTGTCTTTATTCTCAAGACATCTGTGATTATCGTCAACCATGTATTTTACCATGCTCTGGCTTTTGTAATATTAATAAATAAACTCAGTCTTTTTACGTCAGTCATAACAGAATTGATATTTAACTTCAGACACTTTTAATTTTAAGCAAAAAGTTCTTGCCTGAGTAATTAGTTTTTAAAGTAATTTTTTAGCTACTAGTTGTGAATTGATCTTGACAGTTTTCTTATTACTGTTGCAATTCTGTGGGCAGTGGAGTAAAGATGCATAAATTCAACCTCAGAAATTGAAAAATGATCATATAAAACATCTGTTTCACTCATCCATATTTCTAAATTTGCATTTCTATGTAATTACAAAAAAGTTACATTATGTGTAATTTATCTTGATTTTTTTTTCCAATTTATCTTTTTATCTGTAGTTTAGGAGAAATAAGAAGTGTTTCTGCATTTTGTCCCCCAGTGTTTAGTAGGGGAAATGCATACTTCTTGAAATATTTTCCTGAAGTTTTTTCTAAATTTTTAGGCAGTATATTTATTTGAATCACTGAATAATGTACCAGTTTCATCAAGACAACTTGTGAAAACATAACTGCCTTAATAAACTTAACACATCCAAATTCAGATCTATAAATGTAACTGAAGAAAAATCTACAGGTTTTTTGCCCGCTTTACTAGGTGATCGAGTTTGTTACAACAGACAGTTCTGTGGACCTCTGTTTCTAGTAGTGGTCTAGATGACCTGGTATAAAGTGTGTTCCTTCAGAAGAACAACTATTTAAACTGAATGTTGACTTCAGAAGAAAGGTTTAAATTAAAAGATTTAAACCTTAGAAAGAAGCAAGCTAGGACTCTTTCAGGTGTTCTGTTGGTTATTTGTTAAGATGAAGATGAAATGTTTGTAAATGGTGTTTCTCTGTATATGTCAATATAAAATACTACTGTGGAATTTGAAAGTAGTTTGGATTGAACAGTACCATTTTTCTTCCATTATAGGAACATCATAAAAGATCAATTCCAAAAGACACTTGGAATCTTTTGTTAGACTTTGGAAATATGATTGCAGATGATATGTCCAACTATGATGAAGAAGGTAAGTAGTACCTGAATATCTTAAAAAATGACTATCTATAAAAAGTAGCAGACTTAAAATATTGCTATAAACAAACAAGAGAATATGTTGATACCTCCTGTCTTGATGTGTTTATCCTTAGAGTTTTAGCTGCAAATACAGTGTCATACTTGTTGCCAAAACAGTAATGATAAGAAGGTTAACTAGTTTGCTGTAATATGTAAATAGAAGTAGAGATACTGTCACACGATTATATAGCACGTTATTTGAACATGTTATGCTGCAAATCTCTCAGTGAAACCGAATGTTTTGTTCAGAATTTTTGCTAACCTAAAAACAGTTTACACTCTGTTACTAATTCTGTTTTGGAATGTGTACAGAAATATGTCCTCAGATATGAATGGCTGTAATAAGAATGCCATGGTTTTGCTATCAACTAATGTTTATATTTGTGGCGTGAATTTTTATGCTTGTTTGTCTTAAGAACTGCTGCTGCAAGAAGCGATTCAAATGTTGAATTTATTAGTTAGGTGCTTTTTTTCAAGTGTTTTATCATCTCATGTGTTAAAGCTAGACTAGGCCAGAAATGTCAAGGTGAGCTTCTGATCTCTTATATTTAAAGACTACACCGATTTGTTGCTGATAATAATAGAATTCTTGACTTCTCTTTAGGGGCGTGGCCTGTTCTAATAGATGATTTTGTGGAATATGCACGACCAATAGTCACAGGAGGAAAACGTAAAACTTCCTAACCCCAGACTTGTCAGTATGGACTAAACATGCTCTCTGAACTGCATTGGGTGATGAGGATTTGTTAACTGAAAACTGCACATTTTTGCTGGTTTCAGTAGCCGTGATGACATTCTGCAGACAAAACTGAAATTCTTCTTTCTGCCTCAAGAATATGATGGCTGACTTGTGGACACTTCAAGAACAAACTCAGAAGATAGTTCAGGCTGTTTGTAGGCTATTGGCTTCAATTATTGTACTGGTTATATCATATAGGATGTAGATTTTGCATGATTTTATACTTTGGAGAAGTTTAACTAGAGGCCATTTTATTAAAGTTTTGACAGCACAGCATGCCATTCAGTTCATGATCCAAAGTGAACACCAGCAGTTACATAAATAAAACTGTATTATATTGTACTTATATTAAAAGCAGTATTTGTGGTATATAAATTAAATCCCTAAATAAAACTTACGCAGTATGTTGTATTTTTATAAAAGTTCTGTGGATCTGTGCTAATACAGAATTGTAACAAAACCAAACAAAACAACTTATGCTTTTTTTGTTTTTAATTGTTGCCCAAACTTACAATTTTTACTTTTAAGTCCTAGTTGTGTAGATTGATTATATCCAGCCTTTTGTTTTCTCCCAATGAGATTAACTTCCTCATTATTCTTCTTGAAGCGCTTGGACATGTAGGAATAGCATTGCTGAGGACGGGCTGCTGCTCTATGCTGTATTGCACCTCCAGCTTTTTTTTTATTAACCACTTTAAAATAGACATTGAACAACCAAAGATGCTTTTATAATTCATGTTTGATTATCTTAATTCAGTTAGTCTTCAGTTATGTGTTTTATTTATTTTTAATAAGGAACCGGTGGAATGTGGATTTTATTTATAGCTTGAAACATACCATAAATTCTAACTAAATGCAACATAGTTATAAATGCAATTCCTGGCACTTCTCATGGAAAATATATGTGAATAAGCCCAAAGACTTAACTAGTTGATTTCTATGTTGGAAAAAGAGGTAGGGGTAAGGAGACTTTATATTAATGATTGTAAGTATTCATGCCTCTGGATATATTATGCATTCTATTTTATATATTTAAGAGGGCGGAGGAAGAGTAAATTGATACAGTTTCAGTGATCTCAAGGCTGGTGGAATTGGACCGATTTTTCACCAAACCTGAATTTGTTCAGTCATTTGTTTCTCCCCTTATGCTACTGATTGATTATAAAGTGTACAGAGGTCAATCTCCTCTTCCTCGAAAGTGTCTTCCACTGTCTAAGCATAAAAAAGTTTTAGCAGAAACTATTCAGCATGTCTTCACATGGGGCTCTTTCAAATGCTACCTCTTAAAAATTAGTTTGTCATAGGCACTGTAAAATTTTGTTAAAATGAAGTGTTGCTAAAGAGTGTGTACAGCTATGATTAATATATTTTCTGTAATCAGAGATGAATAGGTGCAAGAATTTTGGAGAAAATAGTGCATTAAGTTATATAAACTATGTCTGTTTGGATCACTTAAGCATTGCATGACAGGATACTGTTTTATTTTGTTGTTGCAAGGGTATAAAAGCTTGTAATATTTTCTTAAACTCTAATATTTAGAGTTTCATACAAGCAGTCAGCTTTCATTTATGTCAATGCAACCTGCAAGAACAAACATACATGCTACATACATAGAGATTGCCTTCATTCTTCCCCTTGAGAGAATTTCAGTTGTGCATGTTGTTTAAAAAGCAGGATTAGGGCAAATTTTAACAAATTAGCAAGTTTTCTCCTAGTAAGAGTATAGCAAGCAAATTAAAAATGCCCTGAGAGTGATTTATTTTTAGTCTATCTTTTTGCCCTTGCAGGGCAGCCGCCAGGTGTCAGCACCTCAGCCAGCAGCTGCCTCCTGCTTCTGGGTAAAGTTAGCCAGGAGGGTTAAGCCCAATTGTTACTTTCTGCCTGCACCTTTTTAGAAGGGCATTTTGTACATAACTTCTGTAGAAGTCAATGGGGATTGAAAGGTAGTATTCTTTTGAATGGATTTCTCTACGTTTCCCTCCCAAAACAAGCCATTCTTGTATCAGTCTCATAGACTTTGGCGAATATGTAACATCCTGTAGCATCAAGTGCATTTATCTAGCCAAAAGTGGTGGAATGCTTGTTATTCACAGAATTGCCACTTCAAATGTATAGCTATAACTGCAACTGAAGTAGTTGAATCTATCAGTATGTGGTGCAACTCGAGTTTCATAGTGTTAGAGCTTGTGAAACATTTGTTCATGCTGAGAGTTCCTTCATATAAATCTGATGAACCTTTTACCTTTTAAAATAAATAGAGCATAAAAAAGGCATGGGGATTGAGGGTTTTTTGCCTTGTTAATCGGAGCAAGAGGGAAGGTGCTTAGCACAATAATCAGTTTCTATATATATACTTTTACTCACTCTTAAGCCTCGTTCCTGTGAGGATCCTTCATGGGAAACATCTTCTAACCCAGGAGGAGTGGCTAAAATATCTGAAGATAGGAGTTGCTTCTTATCAGCCAGCTTCTGAGGTCTAGTGCTCTTTTTCTTTTGTTCCTCCTGGTGTTCTATCCCTTTGAAATCACACATGCTTTTTACGTTCCCATACATAATAGCATGGAGTAACACCTTCACACTTGAACAAGCATAAAAATACAAATAAATTGCTTTCAAATTATGAGTTTCTTATGTATTTTAATAATTAGCTGCTATCCACAGTTCCACTTTACAGGGCACTCTGACTTGCTTTTTAAGTAAGCTGATACAGTGGTAACACCTAGGCTGATCAATTTATAATCATAAATGGTACAGATATCTTCAAGTTGTTCAGTGCATACAGTATTACTTCACAGATATGCTTTATGTATTTTTAAACTTGGTGCCAAGTTGTTTGGTTTTACATCCTAGAGGGTTTGAAACTGAGCCATAGGATTTGTACTTGCCAATTCTAAATTTAAATGTGATTTATCATGTGTGTCATGCCAAGGAGAGCAAACCTGCAGGCATATGCTCATTCAGTGCACCTGGGGGATTTGCTGCTGAGCAAGCTGTACATGTGTAAATTTTGTGGCAATGGAAAAAGGAATAAATGGACTGTCAACATAAAGGATTGAAGTCATGTGAGACATCTGTATGGTTTTCATCAGCTCTCTGCTTTGGAAGTCTTGCAACGGCCAGTGGTTTTTTTGCTATCCAGTTCATTTATTACATTCTTGCATTATTATACTATCAGCCAGAAGAGGGCAAGGATGTAACTCACTAACTTTTGGCTAGCTATAATAAATATTTGGTTTGCTCATATGTGCCGTGTTTAAGCTTTTAAGAAGCTTGACATGTTCAGCTGCAGTGCTGTATTCCCTAGACGTAGTCACTACATGCTAGTGTCCAAACTCTGCCATTTGTGTTACTGGTTTGTACAGGCAGTGAGAGGTGTAATTGCAGGGCAGGTGTTGCTCAGTCCTGGTTCTGAGCTCTGTAGGAGAAACAGCATGCTCAGAAGTATGTGCAAAGACCTTCAGAGGTATGTATTCACCTGCCATTAATTCCCTTCTCAAAGTTGAAATCAAAATAATTAAGTTGCCCTCTGTCTTCTCCCAGCTGCCCTCCCTCTCCAGTGCTTTCACCAACCATGGGCTGGTTTGGTGTCGCACAAGTCTTGTCTTCCTGTAACAGCAAAACTGCTGATGCTGATAACTTGAACCACAGCAAGCTCTTTTCCTTTCAGGTGTCAGCACCAGTAGCTTCTGTCAGTTGGTGCCAACCAGCATCTGGCCCCCCAAAAGGCACACCCTTTCTAAATGAGAAAAAGTGTAATGATTTTACAACCATGAGCCAGTTTTCTGATCTTTTCATTATATACAGTATGCTGGGTAGAATTAGAGGTGAGGATAACACACCTCTAAAACTAACTTTTGTTTTAAGCTGTTGACAGAGGGATCTGCAGCTGCCTCTACAACCACATGCAGAAAATACCGTATTTCAGACAAATGGGTGCAATGTTCAGCTTTTAATGAGAAGGGCTGGGGAAGCTTAGGGGCATTCAAGTTTTGTTTGAGCATTGGAATGCTTCCTCTTGTTGGTGCATATACCTGACAAATTCCCATGTGTTTTTTCTTGTGCCTCCTTTTCCAAGCAGTGATACACTCTGTTGTTTGGCAAACCCTATAGGCTTCATGTCATTCTTCAGCTTTCTGTTAAGGATGAAAAGAGGAAAGAAGTACACGCTGTATTGATACAGGATTCTTTTTCCTTTAAAGCAGTGGCTTAAAACTATGAAAATTATTCATCTCCGTTATTAAAGAATTGCGTAAAAACATCTAAGTTTTCCTGGATCTCAGTGAGTGTGTTTTAAAGGAATGATCCTTTTGCTAAAGTAAAATCCTTCATTTCAACAGTTGTAAAGATGCAGCTCTAACAGAAGTCTGACACCTATCTGATATCAACAATACTTTTTAAGGATATGGCTCTGAATCCTTTGATTGGTTGAACTTGGAGCATTTCTCTGCTGAGTGTTTTTGAACTGCAGAAACATCAGCCACTCACTCAGGGATGAGGCGCTTGGGGTGTAGTCGTCTTCTTTTAACTTGAAAAGGGTTTGTGTGGACACAGCATTGTCAGTCCTTTTGCCAGTTCATTTATTCACAGAAGACCCCAGTGCCTGTACAGCACATGAGCCCTGCCCTGGGTGCTGGAGATCGTCAATGCAGAGCCCCTCAGGTGGAAGAGGCAGGAGCAGCCACATCTGCCAGAGGCGTTGCTTCCATGTTCTCACGTCGCATTTCAAATACAGTTAAGCTGAAACAGCGCATTGCCACCAACCCAGACAAGCCTCTTCTCTGTCCAGCCTTCCCATGCCTTTTTTTCTGGATTCTCCCCATCTGAAAACAGTCATATATACACTACTGAAGGGACACAAAGCTGCATTTTTATGTGATTTACCAAACATTGTTGTCAGCTCTGCTTGTTTTGTTGGGTTTTTTTCCTGTTGTGACTACTTTTCCATCTTAATGGAGTTACTATCTTGTGTTTCTGTTTAAGACATGTAAGTATGATGTTTTACAAATAATTTTCTCCTTTGTTGGGAGTAGGAGTAGTTATCAATGTGTCTAGCCTACCTCTGCCCAGAAAGCTCACAGGTGATGGAAGTACCACATGAAAAGGAGATCACATGTAATTAATAAATTAAATAAAAATGTCTTTGTTGCACGTTCTATTTTGTAGAGTTGAAAAATAGAACTTACCTGAATTTTTCTCTGGGTTTTTATTATACCCTTATTTCTGAAGCCAAAGATTTTATTCCTAATTTGAGCTGTGTTATGAGCAGCCAACTGTGTGTGCAACAGGATAAAGTCCACGGCAGGCAAAAGGGCAGTGCAACTGCCAGCCACATTCAGAAGGAAAAGATAAATGGAAAACTAAGAATAGCTTTGCCCATTTTCAAGAAGGAACCTTCCATCTGGTGAGGCCCTTACTAGCTCACCACAGTGCCTCAGCAGGTGATTTCTCCTGTCCTCGCTTTGCAAGCTCAAATTCCCACGTGCCTCCAAGTCGTGATGCTATGCAGGAATAGAGAACAGGTGGGTGCCACAGACGGGTGGATGGACCTGTAACAGAGAAATCAATGTCAATGCTTCTGCCTGGTGTGTTTTTCTAAGCTGTCCTGACCTTAGTTTTCCATCTTGAGTGTTTGCTTTCAGACATGTGGAACCTGAGATAACTAGCAGTGCAGGGGTGACTCTAAGATTACCTCTACGTTGCATAAATGTCCTGGTTGTAGGAGATGATGCTTATTCCCACAGCCATGCAGGGCAGAGGGGCTGGCATCCTCACTGTTCATGGCAAGCCAGCTCTAGAGCAGGCTGGCTATGGCCCCACTGTAGGACGCTTGGCCCTGCATATTCTCCAGTTCCTACATGATGCCCCTGGCATCCTAAGGCATAATTGCCTTTTTTTCTTTTTTTCTTTTTCAGGGCAGAGATGTTGCTTTCTAGCAGTGAAAACACTCTCACTGTCCTTTTCTTAATACTCAGCTCTTGTATTAACCAAGTCCCGATCTGTTTAGTGTGTGCTAACAGAGGCTACTTTCACCTTTTGGGCACTTTATTTCCTATAATGCAGAACAGGTGTGGCAATGCTTCTCTGTGTCCCAAAACTGCATTAAGTACAGTGCTATTTCTTCACATGTCAGTAACTCAGACTATGATTAACTGCTTATTACTTAGTGCTAGGAGGATGCATGCTTTACACTGCTGGCCTTTTCCATCTAAATAGCAATCATTATTGGTCTCTGAAAAAGATCAAAGAAAAGCAAAGACCTTTTCCCAGGTATCCTTTATCAAAAGTACAGTCAAGTCAATCAAAGCTTTCTGTTTATTTACCTAATGTTATATTTACATTTGTATTTCTGTCTGTAAAGTAGTAGTAATGTATGAGTTTTTAGGACTTGCTTACACTCACAGGATGCCATTTAAATACATCTTTCAAAATAGTTTCCTTCCATAGTCCAAGTGTGGGCTGCATCTGAGCTCGGCTTTAGGAAAAAGTCACTCTTTGCCAGGGAGTAAGGCATGAAACTGAAGTTGGTGTTTTGGTCAATGTTTATCCAGGGGCGCAGTAAATTAGCAGAACATGCTTGTACTAGGTGGAACAGAACAAGAAAGCTGTTAACAAAATATCACCATAGAGCACAATTAAAGATGGGAGAGGTCATCTGCATTTGACTACATTTCTTACTGCTTAATCCATCATTCTAGTGTGTACAGAGTCCGAAAAACTGCTTTTATAACAGGCTTTCCTTCTGAGTGGTCCCTGAGAGGGAGGTTGACTTCAGCATATCAGAAACGGGCAGGAGAAAAAATACTAATTTACAGGTTATTGAATAAATAAGCACCCCTGTGGAGGCATCTGTTTTTCTGGGTGTAGAGTTACTTGTGCTGGGTAGGGCTAAGGATCTCCTGGCTTGCTTTATGCTGGGTTGCAGAATTGAGGCTTTTGCAGTTCTGCTCTTACAGTTTCATTAAACAAAGCCCCTGCAAAATCCCTGGGTTATGAAATATTTCCTCTCCGTCAGGTCCCAGACAAGAGATGGCATCTGCAGAGCCAGAAAAGGAAGTCCTTGCCTTATAGAGAGTGCTCTTGGTGTGACACAATGGTTGATATAAAGTGTCAGGGGAGCTGAGTCGAAGGCAAAGGAACAAAGGAAGATCAAGATTCGGTGGCTGTCTTGGGCAGAAGGAAAGTGGGAAGTGTCTCAGGGATGGATAAATTTAAGGCTGCGCTCGTGCTGGCTGGGGTAGGGGATGCTCTCGGTTATCGCAATTTCTCCAGAGAAAACAATGCCTTAGGTGCAAAAATCCAGCAGGAGCTGAAGGAAATTGGAGGGCTTGAGAACCTGGTGCTCTCTTCCGACAAGTGGCCAGTAAGTGACAACACGCTCATGCACATGGCTACAGCTGAGGCTGTCATCACAGGTAGGTACGACGGGACTAGCGAGCACAGTCTGGAGAAGAACAGAACTGTCAAGGTGCTGCATTTCTTAGAATAAGCCTGATTGCTGGGGAAGTCATGAGAAATCATGTCAGAAATGCTGCTTATGTGAATGATAATGTGCATTAGTTTGGCTCCTCCGTGAGCACAATCCTGTGACCATCACACAAACTGGTGAGTCTTGATTTCTGTACTGGAGGTGCTCTCCCTTTATTTTCTCTGGATATATACAGTTAGTTAAAGCTTAAAGACTAAAATACCACATGTGCAGCGTAACAAAAATAATTGCCAAGTGTATTATCTGTATGCTGGAATACATCAGGAAATAATATAGCTACTAGAGATTCATCTGTAAAAGATAAGAACTCTTCTAAGTGCATTTTTAACATGTTTGTGTCCAGAACTCCAGGCTGGATAGAGTTACCTTAATACTGCTTTCAGGCTAAAAGCACTAGCACTGTCTCCTTTCTTCTGCCCCTTAGACAAAGGGTTGTACCAGCAAGGCCAGGAAAAGTATTATTTGCTTTATAAGGACAGTTCCATGTCTTTAGTCCAAAAAGTATTCTAGCATACTATGCTTATAGTAAAGTCTGTCAGAATTGTGGAAGTTAGTAAGCTGTGCCTTCTAAAATCCCAATGGTTTGAGAGAGAACATTTGTTTTTTCTTAAGGTATAGCCTTTTTAAGATATGACAGTATTTATAAGGACTCATTACCCGTCAAACTAGAGCTTTCTGAAACTGTCAAGATTGTAGAAAGTACACCAGAACACAGTGAAGTCTCAGCAGCATTTTACCTCTTCAGAATTAATAATTTTTTTTAATCTCTGTAAAAATATTTCTAATTTCTCTGAAAACTTGTAAGACTGCACAACTCCTAGTAACAGAAGCTCACAATGTTGTTAAGTATTATTCACATCAATGAAATTTCCCTGGTGCTCCTGTTTCACTGCTTTATCTGCCTGCCTCCAATGTGCTCTAAATTTAGTACGTAGAGAGATCAGTTGAAGAGTGTGTTGGGCCCTTCATACTTGGCTATTAGTTAACCAATGGTTTAAGGGGTAGCTAATACACTAAAGATAAGGGCAAGATGTCAGCCTATCAAGAAAAAAGATGACTAGCATATTTCTGAATATAGGGTATGATTAAATACGTATCATATGTTTCTTGCTTACTGAACTCTCTAAAACCATAACTTCTGGTTAATCAAGCCAGTTAGACTAACAATAAAATAATAATTAACTTTTAAATATAGCAGGAGGACTGTGGCTCCAAAGAAAAAAAGTTTCAGCTATAATTTCCATTGGCTGTGTTTATCCTACACTCTCATTTCTTTGGCCTGATCAAGCATTTTAAAAAGGTGTTTTCATGGTCTGGAGAGAAAACAGCAAGATGGAGTAGGGAATTCTATTCATTTCACAGTAACATCGGCGAAGGGGAGAAAACAAGTCTTTCTCTCTATGTCCCACAAGGAAAACAAGAACCACTCCTGCCTGCAGCAGTGTCTCTTCCTGGCAGGAGGGATACGAAAAGGCTCCAGGACTTGTTTGTGGCCCAGCCTGTGTGCCAAATCAACCACGTCAACAGAGCGAAGCTAAAGAAGGTGAATGTGGGTCTGTGAGGCTGAAAGCAGCTGCCACCAGCCCTGGAGACCTGCATTCCTCATGCAGTGGGGAGTCAGCCCTCACTGCTGTGGAGACTGAGATTTTAAAGAATATATTGGGTGTCTGGAACATTACCAATGAAAAAAAAAAAAAAGGCAATAAAAATATCTCTGTACCTCGCTGCCCCGCTCCATGCACATCCTGTTTGCCTGGCTGGCTGCCTGCTGGCCACCACATCCCCTGGCTGCATAGCTGCAGCCAATTGCAGGATGCTTGCAGGCTGGGCCCAGCATGCCCAGGGCTTAGGCTCACCGTGTTATCCCATTGTTGGGGCACTGTCGTCAGGGGAGATCCCAGCCTGTGGCAGCAGCCAATCGTGAGGTGGATGCTTGTGTTAAGACAAAGGTAGTTCTCACCTGGCGAGGGGATTTTGGCCAGCACCTTGCTGACTGCAAGGAGGACATCCCAGAAGTGTCATGGCCAGAAACAGCTGGGACTGTGGATGCTGCTGCAGACTGAGCTGGTGATCCCCAAATCCACCATGTGCACAAACTGAAAGGCTGATCTAACGGTGAAGGATAAACAAAACATTCACTTCCAGCAGGAATCTGTCCCATAAGGGAGGAACAAGAACAGCATCATCAAATCCAGGGGAACTATCCCTGCAGCAAGGAAAGTCTTTTCCTCTCTGACTTAGACATGGGTTATAAAAAAATAGTTCATTTCTAAAGAAGGGGCCTGTCTGATTGACAGCTGAGACAGCAGCCTCCAGGTGTGGGAACCATGGTGGGC